GCAAACTCATTGACAATAATATCTGCCAGGTGATAAAACAAAATACTATAACCATTAAGACCTTGAAATTATAAAACACTACATAAAAGCCACACTGATTAAATGGGTTTTTCTCCCGAAATGTTCCAATTATAATGAGAGAATTCACTGCTAAATTAACCAAATGCTAAACTGTATCTTTGACCCAAATTCGTAGCAATTTTAGAAATTAAACTCAATTGGATTCTGAATTCAAATTTGTCAGATCAGTATCGCTCTTATAAATATAAGAATAAAATAAAGCAAAATATCGGTATGGTAGCGTGAAGCTATATAAATGCCTTAAAGGGTTTTATTATACAGCAGCAACATACATTTCTGAGTTACAGTAACTAACCACCCATAAAACAGGTTAATAAGCACGGCTATCGTTTCATAACGTTGATGCCTTGTTAGCCATGTGGCCTGTTTATTTGGTGCATATGAGCAGCTAAGTTAGCACAGAAACACAACCCAAACCGCAGCCCAACATCTCAGTAACGTCGCTATCACAGGGTTTCCGACATTATTTAACGCTATCTGTGTTTTGTTGTTCTTGTTCACAGCTATGCAGAAATGAAGCTAAATTACGAGCTAAGTGACCCACTGAATTAACCGTGTGTTAGTGTGAAAAAACGGCACAAATACATTACCGGAAGATTTTCTTCTTAGAGGTCAACAGATGACAGATATTCTCGAAATCAGCAGGTTACTTATCCTGTCTAAACTCGAGGCCATATGCGCCCAGCAAGTAAACCAGCCCCATTACAACGCCGCTGCAGCAGCGCCTTGTTATTGTTTATCCCCACCTGTTTTCAGAGCAGCCCACCGTTCCGCGCTTGGATTGGCTGATAGTTCAAACAGCCCGCCGATTGGGCGAACTATTAGCCAATTCTAGCGCGAGAGACGAGGTAAAATAGGCCAATCTCAGCAGAGGAGGGGGCGGGGTTTGTACAATAACGGGTGTGAAAAAAAAACGTTGCCGCGAGCCACCATCATCATCGATCACGTTACTTCACTCAGGACCATGTGACGTGCCACGAAACCCTCAGATAAACGCAGTCGCACTAGGACCCAGGGTGCAGGTGGGCCCGCGTCGTCTGGGCCCACTGAAATCTTCATTGGGCTACTCATACAGATACTGACACAACTTTACATCCATGACTCACTGATCCTGTTTCTTAACAACGTACCTCATCACTTTCATCAACACTACACAGACAGAACCGAGATGTATTTATCTCATAATTCATTTATTCATAATGCATCTCACCCGTGGTAACGGTTTTCAGTAGGACTCTTCACAACCTGCAAAATGATATATTCATTATGTATAATTTTCTAACATTTAGGTCAACATTTGAAACAAGTGGGTGGTGTGGCATGATTTGAGAGCATCAGCGTCATAAATTACATTGTTATTTTTGAATCTTTTTAAAGTATGTTTGGTATAATTTTGAGCATTGAGACCCCAGTGGCAGGGCAAGATGGGCCCAAATCAGCTGAACACTGCTGCTAAATCTCACTCAATCAATCTCAATCAGTCTCTCTCACATAGTGCTGGTGAGAGGCAGGAATGTAGGGAGAGATGGATAAAACTGAAAAACTGTAAATGACTGAAAATGACCCTTTTACTAAATAGTTTGACTAACTTAAAAGCCACAGTGACTTGAGAAGTTGTGGGTGTCACCTGGATGCACCTATATGTAGAGAAAATTACTCAGCTTGATGTACATATATAAAAATCAACAGAGGTGTTAAAAGTAAGAGATGGCAAATCAAAGCAATACATCACTAAATACCTCTCATGCAAATACAAACATACATGCATAAATATGTACTTACAGTATGAATTGGCTGTTGATGAGGAAGGGTGTGTTATAAGACGTGTGTGACTATGATTGCTGCACAGTGTAGTTAACTGAAATAAACCATAGGTGGCAGCGTGTCATACAGAATATTACCTACTGCATGATCGCTATGAATCCCATGCCGTCAGTGACCTCCATAGGTTCTCCTGCAACCTGCAATCATGAGGAAAAAGATAAAAATTACAGAACCAGTAAAGGTGACGCATGTGAGAGAAGTTAACAGAGTTTAGCAGATTGACTGGGACTGATGGCTGGCATGGCACCACCTGTGAGACAACCAATTCATCAGTCCATCCTGGGGCTTCAATGTGGGATCATGATTAGCACTGTTTACCGAGTCTACACAGTCATATCTCAGATGCTACTCCCAGGTTGGACATGAGCAAAATAACCAATTTCCCTATAACTGCACTTAAAAAAATTAGTGAACCCATTAGTCTTTTGGGTAATTTGGTGCTTTTTTTTCTGGTCTTGGGATGATGATACAATTCAATGCTTGGACAATGCTGAGAGCAAAATTGTATAATACAGAGACACCAGATCAAAAGCTGCCTAGTTTAGTGGACTGGTAACACACACATCTTATCATATGCTACAATATTGTCTATCTATTCTTAACCATTGTGCAGTACATTGTAGGTAGCAGTGAAAGGCCAAAACAGGCCATCAGCCAGCTGCATTAAGATGTCATTGGTTCCACTCTATTATGAGTCTCTTCCACAAGTTAAATAAAAACAAATATAGGTAACATCAGAAAATGTACCAACCTCCTTCATTATCCCACTTACAATGACACCACATTTGATCTGGAACTGTTAATGCTCAATTAAAAATCCCTTAGAACAAAGAAAGAGAATGAAATTGACAAACAGTGTCCAATGCTTTTTGTCTCGCAGAAACATGGATTGTAATCAAAGTTTACATGACTTTAAATGCGGCTGTCCCCTAGGCTACAATCAAGTAGATAGCTCTTGTCTAAATGGCTGAGGGGGAGGCACAGTAACTGTTAATAGGTGTTCACTAGGCATAACCAGTAAGTGAGGTACAAATTTAACTCCACAGATTATTTTTTTAGCATGACTGTTCCAGCCACAAAAAAGAAACTGTTTTAGTCTATTTTTACTCATAACTATTTGGGTATCAATATGGACTGAGTCTGAGTTTCTACAAGAATTTGCAGACTTTCTCTGTCTTCTTGTTTTTATTGAAAGGTCTTGTAGGCATCACACAAAATGTAATGAGGTTCACTACTGCAGTCATACATACTGATTTAATACTGACCTTTGGCATCAATGTAAGTACTCTCCCCAAGACTAAATTTAACATTAACAAATATAGAAGGGCTTATATTGCAGCCCAATCAACGTTATTTCAACATATGCAGATTACTTTCCATTATAGAAAGCAACAAAACTAAGTAATGTCCAATGTAAGTTAACTTGCAACCAAACATATGCTTTGATAGCATTCATTCCTAATTTAACTATGAATAAAAGATTTTTTTTAGAAAATTATTCCTAAAAAGCCTCTCAAGAAAAAGACTCACAACTAAAAGAGTGACATCAAATGAAAAAAAATTGGCACATGAATATAAATGAAATGAAATGAAAACCCCAGAGGTTGAAACACTGCAATTTTATAGGAATAAGTAAGGGAGCTTTAAAATATGTGGCATGTGGATACACCATTTCTGATGATCCACTGAGTTGGTTTTCTTTCAACCCTGACTTGAGTCTATACCTAAAACTCTGCAATTAGCTGCTCAGTCTCTGTGAGCTGACCAAGCACAGGACAAATCTCAAATGATCTAAAGCGTACATCAGCAGCTAAAGACATACTGGTGTAGTGCTGAACAGGAAACACGCAGAAACTCAGAAACACATGGAGACCAAATCGGGAGAGTTTATTCAAACATAATTAAAGCCAAACCACAAACTGAAAACAAACGACTCACACAAACAGGAAGCATTTCCATGCTTCTCTTCCCCCTCGTAAGCTGTAGGGCAGCTTGTAAGAGCCTTTGTCTCTCCCCAAGTAGGCAACTGCTCACTGTATGAGATCCCTCTGGTCCACATGTTCTCTGAGCTAACCTGAGCACAAGCCTGAAAATGTTCAAACTGACCTGACCAGGTGGCTGGAAAGTGAGGTTTTATCATGTCAACTATCAGACTAGATTTAGTATTGTGGCGGCTGCCACTTGCTCAGGTGTTCTTACAATTTATCCTACCTAGCCGAGCAGTCCTACCGACCATGTTTATTATATAAGTATAATATAGTAACTTAGTGTTTAACGTTTTATTGCGTTTTTAATACTAATTCAGTACAGCCACAGCTTGATACTACCCGGATTAGCTGATCACAATATCACAATATCCTAGTTATATCATAATTATTTTCTCAATGCTAGTAACATTTTCTGATAAGGACAACTATCCTACCTATACATGTCAATACTAGTAGCAGTTTTGAAAAGGTAATTTAGGCTATTAAAATATCCTACCTGTAGTTTTAATTCTGGTAATATTTTTCCCTAAAAGAGACAGTTATTTTTGTTTGGCTGTTGTTGTTGTTGCTTGTTTGGTGGTTTGGGTGTGTGTGTGTTCTGTGTGACATGGGGTTTCTGGGGGATGGGTTGTTCTGTGTAGGGGGAGGGGGGCAGCATGCGGTGGGAGCCTACGGCTTTTGGTGACCTCCCCCATGAGTTTGTCTGTAGGCAGTGCATTTTTCTGCAGTTTCTTTAAAAAAAAGAGCACATTTCAAGCAGAAATGATGCCCTTCCCTGACTCTCCTTCTGCGCGACACAACAGTATTTTGGTCACTACTGATTTTTAATAAAACAGTAGAAATAAAAAAATTAGTATTGCATGTAATCAAAACAAATAAAGCTACTAAATATAACATAATGAATATCTGTTATATAACTCAGTATAACTACTGAAAATGTCAGCACTACAGATCAGTGAGCCTTGTCAATATAAATGTGTAGTTGTTGGACATGAATGAGTTAACTGCAGAACAGAAGGAATGGTCTGTGGAAAATGGGGAGTGGTAGGAACTCCACCCCTCAGGCCTCCACAATAGAGTCACATATGTGAAATATTTCAGACAGGTTCCGGAAGCATGACAGAGCGGAAATAAGAAGAAAGGAGCTGTCTGTTATGCCCTCCAACCGGCACGGTACTGCTACAGATCCATAAACATGACCTGAGCTTCCAGTATTGTACTGAGGACACAGAACTGCATACATCAGCTACAGATGATAAATATCAACTTAATAAGATTGAGGAACATCAAAGGACATTAAAGACTGCATGCAGAGGAAGCACGCTTAGTTCAGGTTGCTTAGGTGTTTGGTCCATGTTAAATCGTGATGACCTTTCAGTTGCATCATACTGTCTGTAAGAAACCTTGTCATGTCTAATAATGTTAATCTCTCTTTTGATGCACATACAGACAGGACTATTTCTTACTATAAAACAGTATAAGCTCTCACTCAGAGCCCACAAGCTGCAAAGGGCCCTGCAAGTAGGTATTTTTGTTTGGATTGTTTGTTCTGTTGTTGACTGTAATCATTATATTGTCAGAATATCTCATCACTTTGGTTTTTTTTTTGCTTAGAGTTCATTTTGACCATAAATTATTATTTTTAAATTTTATATGTAAACATGGTAAATTGTATTGAAACTTTTATTGCTTTTTTATCCATTTCTTTTTTATTATAATTCTTGCATACAAAAATAGTATGATTGGAGTGGGTAGGGGCCCCCAAACACACGCAAAAGTTCAGAAAAATTCTTGCATGTATAGATAGCTTTCCTCCATCTCCAAAAAATTATATTGCTATGTAACAATGCAGTTACACTCTCAGAAAAAAGGTGCTAAACTGTCACTGGGGTGGTACTCCTCTTGTCACTGAGGTGGTCCCCCTAAGGGTGTGTCTGTAGTGCCTTTAGTTAGAGCATAACTGTACCATAATCCACTGCAATTATATTTTTGAAGTTGTATTGACTCCACAAACTCTCACACAGTCTTCAGGCTTTTTGTTGTCATTTTCTGTTTTAGAACATTAGATTATGAAAATGTATAGCCACATGCCTTTCCCCTGAGAAAAAGAAAAAACTGCTTTAAGGTACACATTGTTTGTACCTTGATGAGCGAAAAATGTACCTAAACAGAAGCTTTTTTCTGACAGTGTATGATGAACTCTGGTGTGACTTCATGTTCCAGGCTTTAGGCTCCCTTTTCCATGATAGGGACCTTACAGCATCCACTGCTTAGCTTAGAGACTCTGTGGTGTGGCTGTTCAGATCACACTATGGGTAGACACTTATTGTTTCATTGGGGAATAACACAATACACAGTTTGTAATTACAGTAGATAATTACATGAGATTTGTTGTGAGATATGCTGTTGTTACAATTGGAAATAAGCACAGCACTGCAGCCAGCGTTACAGGGCAGGTTTTTCCAGTTGCTAAAAGAGCATTTTCCTAGCGCTGAAAGAGAGAATGTATGTGTAATGTTCCAAAACTCTTTTCTGTTTTCTATCATCATACCTCCAGGACTACAATGACAAAAGGTGACTGACAACATGTCCGTACTTGGTATCCCACCCATCACTACTATATCCTGTTTTTTTTGAGCCACAGGCCCCAGTGTCAGTGCCGTACTCTGCGCCAGCCGCCTACGTAATTACGTCACTGGTGTAGCAAAACAAACAAACAAACAAACAGGCAAACAAAAAAATAATAAATAAAACAGAATAGAAATATTTTTGTCCCATATTCCATAGCTTCTGTCCTCTGCAGCAAACGGAACCGTTTTAATGGTGACAGTTGTGAATAGAGATATTTTTTAATGTGATTACTTATGTTTTGCCTCATTTCTGGTGTCAGACCCACGAGAGGATCTTCCGGGAGCGATTTGTCATTTTATGCCTTATATGTTATTAATGCATTTACAATTAATTATGATGGAATTCACTCATACATTTGAAAACCTTGAACCTTTATGTTCTTCTTTATTAAATTAGCCAGTCCAACTCCTGAGGCGGGGTTTGTCGGGATGGGTGGGGGGTTGGGGCGACAACGCCCTTCTGGAGGTGTTTCTATAGGAGCTGGTTGTCGCTTAGCAGCTCATCACCCGACGGAGTGAGGGTGTCTTCACTTTACTGCTGATTTCAGATTTCAGCTCAGCGCTAAGTGAGTATTCTGGCTTGATTTTTTTGGTTTCGGTCGAGTTACATGTGTACAGCATGTATTTCTGTAAGTTACCTAAGCTTCATTTTAGCAAGGACTGTAAGGTGTATTAATTTTGTACCCGGTCGAAATGAGGTGAAACACAGCAGAGCAGTGTGTTTCTCTCTCCTCCTCAGAGTAGCGCTCAGTTAGCTACACAGGCTAAATGAAGTCTGCTGCTCTAATGGAGGAGCTGCCTGGAGGGCTGTGGGGGCTGTTAGGGGCGCGGATGTTTTGCTGATGTTGTCTAGAGCTGAGCTGCCGTAGAAGTCACGAAACTACAACCTGTAGACACCAATATGATTTTTTTCCATTAGTGAATGGTCGAAAAGCGATTTGGTTGGTTCATTTAACAGCTTTTATATTATATATTTTAATATTTTCGGACAAGATGACTTTTCGAGCATTGCCAAATGTTTTCTCCGTATTGTAGTTGAAAGGTTCACTGAAGTTGGTGATTTGCTGTTCTCATGACTTGATTATCAAGGCTTTATTTCTCCGTGTGGTTTGGTTTGCGTGAGAGCTCCGTGTGTGAGAGCCGCGCGCTTGTGTTTGTGCAGCGGGACCTATCAGTTCATCTGATCTCACAAAACGTCATGCGAGCCAGATGCTGTACATTTTTGACCAGAGTGAAGGCATTTCGGACATTTCTGAATTGTTTTCCATCAGCTTAAGAAAAAAATTCACAGATTTTTCAAAGTTTCTGCACAATTAAAAGGTCAAAGTCACGCAGAGTGGTTTGATTTTAAATGGTACGTTGTAGAGAAACTTGATGGTGATGGTAACCATAACCATTTTATTTACAATCCAGAATGACGAACCTGAGTTTTTATATGTAATGTTGAGGATTCTATGGAAGTGGAGAGTCTGTAAAATAAGTGTTCTGTTTTGCCCTGCAGTGCCTTTCTTTCAGCTCTCTGCCGTGATCGGATCTTAGTACATTTTAAGCCACAAACTTCAAAATTTCTACAACTATCGAAAACAGTGTCATTCATCAGGCAACATATTTATAACCACTCGTTCGGTTATAAATGGATGCCTGGTTCCTGTCACCAGCACTGTGAACAATTCTGACTCTAGAATGGAGAATTTCACACCAAACGACTCTTAACAACTGTGTTTACATCTTGGTGAATAAAGTTCACTGAAATGCAGACACTGAAAAGGTACACAAAACTTTTGTGGAGGTTTATTTAAGTCTTTCATTTCTTGGCTTTTAGCATTTGGAAAACAAATCCATGTTTGTTTGTCTGATTATATTGAAAAGTGCTGGAAATCTAGATCTTTTAGTGACTACCATAGTGGTACGACATGGAACATCCCACCATGTGTCTCATAGTTTATACAGTCATTAAAGGAAATGTCAGTAGTGAATTATTATTGAGTGGATGTTAAATTCTGAGACCAGACTTGATCTGTGCATGATAATCTATGACCTTTTCCCAGGGCTGAATGATGGATCAGTTTTATGTTGAGAGTGAAATTTTTAAATTACAAGAGAAGCAATTTTAATTACATGCTGTATTATTCACAGATGTCGTTTCAGAGAAATTTAGTAATGCTGATGCAGTGGCACTGTGGTACACTACATTCAACTCTAAAGCCCCAAGCCTCAGAAAAGGGATGTATTGATCTTCCTGGCGAAAAAGGGCTGGAGCTTAATTTAAAGAAAATTACTGCCCTTACATTGCAATATTGGTCAGAAAAATTACAATTAGGTGTTTTCCGCAAATCATTCAGCCCTACTTCTCTGTACTGTTCAGTTGACATCAACTTAAATTTCCACCCACAGAAAAATGTGGGGCTTTTGGATTCTGCTCTGGCCTGCTCTTTTTACAGGTAAGAACACGCTTCATTATCACACATTCACAAACACAACCTTGAACATGCCACTGCAAAGACCATTAGTATGCGTCGATACCATTATACCAGTATGAGTACACATTTTTTAGTACTCACCAATACCGAGTCCGATACCATACTGAGTAAACTACTTAGTAATAAGTAGTTGTTCATGCAAATGAGTGCAGTGTACATTAACAGTTAAATAATTAAAATCTAGCTGATTTTAAATAACATGCATTAACTAGCTATGCTACATTAGTTACCTTTGATCAAATGGGGGGGTTTGTTTCTTTTCACAAAAGTGCTTCTAACAGCTGTAAGTAAAGTACATTTCATAGTTTTGCAGAGTTTTATGTCTGAGGTATTTTGTTTGGCTGTTTGAGTTCTCCGTGTCTCCAGCACTACTGGGGAAGTGGTCATCATTGTGTGTTTAAAACAGGCTAAAATCACAGTGTATTTCTGGAGGAAATCTACCAAAGCAATTTTTAAAGTGACCGACAGCTTTGTATCCGACTTCCACAGAGTCAGTAACTCTTCTCTGTGAGAGCAGACTGTCCTTCACTGGACAATGCTGGTGGGTACACTCGACGTCACGTGGTACCAGCTGGCATCGGATGTTGCTATAGGTGAACTTTTATGAGTAAGAGTAAATGAGCACGGCACCATCCTGATACCAGTACTGGTCATTAGTACTGAATTGAACAGAAAATGGTATTTTTGTTCACTTCATCACTTACAAATCCATCAATAATTTTGTTGTTGGATTTCCGCCTCTGATGAGGTAAGATTCATTATTTCTTCCATAAATTGTGGTGTCTTCAAATTTCAAGAATTCTTTACGTTTTCTCTCTCCTTTTAGAGTCCTTTGCCTCTAGGACTGATTATTTGGAGCTGCTGTTTGGGAATCAGTTGACTATCAAGATGCCGAGTAGTTGGTCAGACTCTATGGATTTCACATCTGTGGATGAATCCCAGCATTACACTATTTGGTCCAAGAAATCTTCCCGCAGTGGAAGAGGAGCAGTGAGAGGAAGTGGTGATGATAGGCGCTACGTAGTTAGCTATGTGAATTTTGATGATCAGGGAACATACACTCAGCGGAACTTCTGGAACAAAGTGACTTATGTCGCCAAAGTAAAGGTTTTTCGTAAGTGACTTTGGTCTTTTTCTAACCGCATGCCTCTTTCTCCACCCCTTTGCCCTTCATTTTTCTATATTGCATCACGTTGTCTTTACAATGGTTCCTCTGTACTAGTACAAACATTTTTTGGTTCAGAGTCTAACTCTACTCTTTACATTTGCTTTTAAAGCAAAAAAATACACAAAGGATTGTGTGGCTGGTGAGACTCTCAACATTTTACTGGAAGGTATTAAGCGGGATGATGCCAGTCTGAGATTCTCCAGCCAAGATGTGAACCTCATGCTGGTGCAGCGAGGCTCACCTGCAGAGAATCTCCTTGATTTTTCTGGACGCATCAAAGTGACCACAAGCAGTATCCAGGTTCTGAATGTCAACGTGTCAGATTTGGGAAACTACACTCTCTTTGATGGTGAGGGTCGTAAGGCCATTACCGTCCGTTTAAACTTGATTGGTAAGTTTCTGCTATTAAAATCATTAAATCTGTCTGTGGCCAGGAGTCCAAGAGAGAATAATTGGCCCTGCTGCTCTCTGGGTGTTTTTCTCTCTCTCTGTCATTCAGTGAAAGTAATGAGTTACATTTACTCTTATTACAGTACTTGAGTACTTTTTCCCTGTAATGCTACTTTTTGAAGTATAATGAAATCATTGCACTTTCACTTTAGTTAATTTTTAATAAAGTAAGTCTCCTTCGCTGCTTTAATTTGTAACATTACAGAATAAAAAATAATGATGAGCATGTCAGCTCATAAACCAATTAGGTAAAAGCCCTGTTAAATTTAGAATACTCTGTTCTGAAGGCACTCTCAGGGCCTTCCAGGCGTTTAGAGAAGGCCTATTGATTTCTATGAAGTAAAAAAATACTTAATCTAATCTTTACGGTTGTTGTATTGAAATTCTGCAAGTATTGCAGTAATACACTTGCTTCATTGTTAAGTTTTGGTTGTAAAGTCTTGAAATGCCCAACGGAAATTTATTCAGTCAAGATTTATTCTTTCCAGTATCTAGGTAGATACAGCTAAGCAAGCTCTCCTATTGGTTTGGACTTCAGAAGCTGAAGTCCTAACTTGTAAGATTTATCACTAACAGCAACTGACAGTGAAATCAACTAATCATGTTTTGATTTACGATGGGTGAGACCAGTTTTTATGAGAAAAAAATGGTCCACTGGTAGGCTTCTTGGAAGTTGTAGTCATTACTGACTGTGAACATCAGTGGTAGCCTCCACTAGTGCATTTCATTCAGATGTTAGAAACAGAAAACAGCAGCAGCTCTATGCCAGGACGTTTTCCTGAACATGTACAAGGTAAAATAAGTATAAATATGTCTGTTACAAGCTTCACGTAAAAATGGAATGCGTCAAATGGCCGTGTTATATTGGCCAAAATGTATGTGAAATCATACTAGCTTAGCGCTAACATGCTACTAGAATCCTATAAGAACACCAGCAGAAATTAACGTATCGTAGAGGTGTTTTTTGTTGTTTTTGACAGTTTTGACGTTTATGGCCTGAACTGAAGGCCCAGCTCAAATAGTCATGATTCGCCACTGGGCTTGACTGATCATAGAGGAAGCAAATTTTCTTCTTCTTCTTCCCAGACTGGTAGCATCATATGACAGAGGGAGACCTAGATAGTGGGTAAAAACTGGGGGGAGGGGTGGAGAATGATAATAATTCCACCATTGTAATTGCTTTTACAGTGAAAACTTTGGTGAACTTCAACATGTCAGCATTGTCTTGTAATCTGATAGCACTGATTGTAGTCGACTGTAGGGATGCTCTGGAGCAGTTTTAGAATGGCCAGTGATTGACAGTGGGTGTGTGTGAGGCTCGGCACAGACCCCTTGCTAAGAGGGTCTATCTTTAGAGCAAGCAGTTATGCCAAAGACTAAATTCTAACTACAGAGCTATTTTAGCTAACAGCGACAGCAGGACAGCGCCTGTATATTTTACATTATTGTAATACATTGTCTTTAATTCACAGCTGTAGCTTTATCATAAAACTGTCATAATTCTCACTAACATTAATTCATCCTCCAAACTACAGCATTCTGTATTTATTGATCTTTTTTCTAACTTTTTTTTTCTATAAATGCCATCCTTGTTCTGCCTGTCTCTGTAGATCATCATGAAGGCATTGATGCAAGTCCTCTCATGGCTCTTATGCTGCTGCTGGGCATACCGGTCGGAGTTTGTTGTTGCTGTAGGAAGAGAATCTTTAAAAAGAGCAGCCAGTCCACTGCCATGACTACAGTCTTGTCCGAAAACGTGGTTCCCCCTCCTGGGCCCCCACCTGCTTACAACAACCCTGTGCCTCCTGCAGGCCACAGCCCTGTAAGTTCACTGCAAGTTCCCTGCACCCAACAGAGCAGAGTGACATATGTACTCCCAAAATGGCATTGTACAAAAAGTAAAAAGTACAAAATGTGGAGTTGTATATTTTTGTAGTTGTGCTTTTTTGTGCCTATTTATCTAAACTGTGTAAAAGCTTTTCTTTTTTGAGTTTTACCTGTAGTATTCCAACAATGGACCCACATCAGTCAGTATTACATTACAGTATTTGTGTGAGAGTGCATGTCCCTCTGTGCTCCGGGTGGGTGTATTATGCTCTGTGATGGTGTTTGTTAGCTGAGAAACGAGTCTGTCCACTGCTTTTTTTTACTTTTGAGAAGGGCTGCATGATTAAGCGTATTTGTATTGTTATTGTGATATTGGTGTTTACAATGAAGGCATCATTAAAGGCTGCAATGACTGATTGGATTAAATTACATTACACCGTAAGAGTGACATAATTAGATTGGTGTGAATGAAGCGTTAGGGGCCATTTCTAATAACACAGCAGAGGTGTGCTTACCTTAGCCAGGACTCGAACTTTGAGTCTTCCAAAGTGTTTAAAGACTTAAACTTCGAGTCTACCAAGTGCTTCCAAAGTGTCTTGGTACATGAACACTGAGGCTTCTGTTTTATCATATTTAATAATAATGTTTAAAACTGTAGTTTCTATGATAGTAGTGGTCTAATGGTTTTATAGTGGGTGATTGTTATGGGAGGGTTCGAGTATTTGTGTGTATTTATAGCAATAATAATAATAATAATAATAATATTATTGTTAATAATAATAATATTACAGTGTTCTTGTTTGATCTGAGACTCTTTGTGATGTTGTTTTGTAGATGTACACTCCTGGTTATCCCACTGATGGTGCGAGTACGATGCATCCTCCTCCTGCTGACCCTGCATTTCCTCCTCAGCCACAGTACAGTGGGCAACCTGTTATGCCCCCTAACCCTGTGAGTCTCTCTCCGTCTCTCTCTCTCTCTCTCTCATACAAATGCACAAACACAGACACACAGACACTCAGAGAAACAAGTAAGGATTAAAACAGTTCTGTGTGGAGGTCAACATTCCTCCAAAGTGTTGTGATAGGCTGATACATAGTTGTAGTAATTGTTTATGGAAGGTTCATGTAAGATTTGTGGTTATATGTTTTTAAAATACAAAGCATTCAAAAATATAATGAAGTTCTTCTGCTACAGCAGTATACTCCTACAGACAATATACAAAGTAATGTGCCGGGGGGGAGCACCGAGGGACAGGGTTATTGCACATATGAAAAGGTTATCCCACATACGAGACGTATACATGCCCCAGACAACAAGTAACATACAACAAGGGCACCAAAAAGTAAGGATGTCTGCTAGTGTGAAGTGGAAATGGCAGAATTGAGTAGCTAAATACATGACTAGGTACATGAATGTGAGGAGACATCCCAGTACAGTGTAGAATAATATCACATAATAATAGAGCAAAACAGCATAACACCATGTGCAGAATACTGCAGTGTGAGATACAGTGTGTAAGTAATAAAGTATCCTTGATTTGGTACAATATATAATCAGGTGCAGTGTGGAAGAAGGCCTTATAACACAGTGAATGAGGTAGTAATTGGTGATTTGTTGTATCAGTCTTTTCTCAAGGTTTTTTAATTTGGTTTTAAAACATAATTAAAAATGATCTCAACACTCTTATATGCATGAGTTAGAAAGAGATATTAATAAGGTATTGTGAGTATGAAAGTATACAAAAAATAAGTTTCTCTTTTCTCCCACTTTTGGACAAAATGAGTATGTTTACATGGACTTAATAATCAGATAACTATCGAAATCTGATAGTGATTGTATTATGGTGTGCGTGTAAACGCACAATCAGTGATGTTTGTAAGTAGCGAAAAAAGCATGCATGGAAATATTACAGTCTTGTTTAAGTTGGTCAGCATTTCTACTTTCTACAAAGATTGTTTATAATCCACATCCCGCTCTGGTGCCACTCCTTAAACATTGTCTAAGAAGGAAGGCTTGAAGGCACGATTTGAGTACACAGTTGAATAGAAAGAAGGACCATGCATATCAAAATGCTGGGACCAGATGTTGAAGGTCGACTGTTGGGCTGGATTTACATCTGAACGAGGGAAGTGGGAGTTGGGGGCCTTGATTGGACCTTCACCCTTTTTGAGGGAGAGGTCTCCTGTTTTTTACAAAATGCCCAGTAGTAATAAAATAAGCTTTCCTCGTAGAGCCTTTGTGTTTTTGGAGAGATGCTTTCCGTATCTGGAGGCCTTTGCCATTGTAGTGGAGGTTAATTATATGTTAAAAAAGTAATTTAGATATTTAGAAATATAAAATAACTTGTCCAGTGTCCTAGATCTTGTTCCTTTGTTGATCTCCGTGTATCACACAGGTTTCTGCTATAGGGAGCAGGGAGTGAATGTTAAAATTAAGGTCAAACATAATCCTTTTTTGAAGATTTAGCTTGTAGCCAGAGATGGACCCAAACTTACCAAGTATGTTGTAGTACAGGGGTTCAAACTCAACCTGTAAAAGGGCCATATTAAAAAATCTCATCAAATCTGTGGGCCAGAGGAAAAAATGTTTTATTTCATTTTTAATTAATGTTGTGCTGTAACCTGAACTGGCCATTGTTTATTCAAAATATGCAAAAACTTCAATAGTAAAATACAGACATTTGTAGTAGACCTTGAAATATTACATGGACACTTGAAATATTCAAAAATTAGATGTCCCTAGGTGCTCTGCCTTTAAAGCCATTTAATCTATTTGCTTGAACTAGACACCTGGCATCCTGTCTTTGCTGCAAGTTCATTAAAACATGGGATCAATTTCTGAGCTAACGTCAAGTGTTTATATTGGTTGAACTGCAGCTGAAATACAGCTAGTGTGTTTGGTGATATGACTGGTGTGGAATTGCACAGAATTGAATTGTGTAGAATTGAGGTGTAACCGCTGTCCCATAGACTGTTGTTGGGGTAAGGGAGTCAGAGCACATTACGTTGCAGTGCATGCTGGGGACTGTAGTGCAGCACACCGTGAAACAGGCTAATATTAATAGAACATTAAAATACTTTTGCGGGCCGGATAGGATTTTGTGTCAGGCCTGATCTGGCCTGCGGGCCTTGTGTTTCACACGTGGGTTGTAGTATATGCGCGGGAGGAAGCAGCTTGAGTTACCTGCAAAATGGGAAAGTAGTCTGAAAAGTGTCAGTTGTTGGCTAGAAACGAGTGGCGGAATTTGTCCCCACTTTGATGCAGCAAGAGTCTCTACTTTTCTGGCTATGGGCAGTGACATTAGGTTCATGTTTGGCTGCTCCAGAGTGTCCCATTTGATTGGCGATGTTTTTTTTTATTGGGTGCACTTTAACCTTTGTGTGGTGTTCATGTTTTTGTCACTCAGCCAGTGTTTGCAGGTCTGGTGGACCCACTGCATTATTAGGTTTTTAAATCAAAAATCAACAGCCATAAACATTTATGTGAAAATACCAGATGTTTACTTTATCCCAATTACAAACAATAATGACAGCATATAGGGTTAATATTTACAATTTACCTCTAATAGATCATATCTATTAACAATAGTGCTATCCATTTTTTGTGATAAAAACAAAAAAAAGGAGAAAAATCAATATCAACATATGGCTGGAAAAACTTGTTTATTTTGAACAAATCTAAATGAAGCAATGCTAAGAAAATAAACACATTTATATTAGTCTGAACAACGTCAGCACTATTGAACAGATACAGTATCCACATCAGCCCCATTGAACACACAGTCTACTCATGCCAGCCTGTACAACACATGAGGGGTAGAGTCTTACTGTGTGTGTGCTGAATATGTGTTTCCTGCACATGATGCATGTATGCTGTGTCCTTCTGTCCATGATGGGTCCACACACCTCACAGCACTTCTTTTTGTTGCTACTGGTCGTGACCTAGAATGATGAAAATATTAGATTTTTTCTCACATCTTTCTCTCTCTCTGTCTCTTTGTCTGTCTGTCTGTCTCTCTCTCTCTCTCTCTCTCTCTCTCACACACACACACACACACACACACACACACACACACACACACACATTATAGTTGGTCAAGGTAAGAAAGTCAGACATAACGTATGCAACAGCATCTCACACTTTAAGGTCTCACCAGCAAGCCATATAGGAGGAGGACAGAGTGAAGGGACGCAGCACCTTCACACTTTTATGATGTGTAATATGAATGTGTGTGGGGGGGGGGTGTACAGTGTGAAGTCAATGAAAATGTATTTGTTTATATGTTCTTCGCAGAAAATGAACATTTGAGGTTGAAATAATAATAAATCACATCATTTTTCTAAATTCAGTATGTGAAAGGTTACAAGAGCTTGGTTCTTTAATAGTGAGCAAGAGCAATGATTTGAGACATTGTCACTCCCTCTTGACCTGCCAGATGTCATTGGTGCTTCAATTTTTGTGTAATAAAAATAGCGTAGGTGTTTTGCTCATTCATGTAACAGTTGTCTCTAATTTAAATTTTTAGTTAAGGATATTGAACATTCTAGGTTGTTAGTTTTTTTCATACTGATGAATTACATGCAGTATATAAAAACCCAGAAAATGAGTCAGATGGAAATACATGTTTTCATGGTTCTGTCCTGTTGACTACCAGGACCCCAAATGTCCACCTGCGTTTGGATATCCACCTGCCCAGCCTCAGTGGCCTGGTCCTTCATATAACTCACCAGCTCCTGCAGTACGGTTCTCTTTCTTTCATATGCATGCTTTACTCCATCTCTTACTTCTGTCCTTCATTTTAATGAGAAAGTTCTTTCCTCTTGTTCCTCTTTGAGGTAGAGATGAAACGATATTAAAATTTCATATCACGATTATCATGACCAGAATTATCACAATTATCGATATTATCGCGATATTGTTCAAAAGCACTGAAAAGTAAAATAAATAAATAAATAAATACTGATACACAAACTGAAATTCGTTTCACCATTACTATTATTACTGTTGTAAATTATTATTATTATTACTGCTGTAATTATCATTATTATTATTATTATTATTATTATTAATTACAATAATTAGGGATTTCCCTGCATAGAGAATTAAATCTCCACCAACTCTGAGGTGGGTCTTAATGGAAAATTATTACTTCTAAGAAGTGCTGCACTCGGGGGATTTCTGTCCGAACTGCAATTGCAGCATTATTGTGCCGTTGTGGCGCTGAACCCCTAATCAATACAGTGCACCAGGAAAAACAGCCAAAATCACAGAGGAACTGCGTGACCGCGCTGTGAGCTGCAGACAGTGTAGAACTCACACAGTGTGTCTCCACCTGTTGAGCTGCTTCTCTAAAAGCATTTAAAACTAAAACACAACTTAAAATTAACATGCATCTGAGCTGCGGCAGAAACACTCCTAAAGTTTAATCTCTGAAACTCTGCTTTTCCCAAAAGCGGCACACAGCGTTTACTCGCGCAAGGTCCCGTCTCAAAGCACACTATCTTCCCTATGTAGTGCACTTCGTGGATCATGAAATAGCAAATCCTTCACCCAAAGAGTGCATGAAATGTTCGACTAAGTCGTCTATAATCAACATTAACAACAGGTTACAAATTCCCTATTTAAAACTCAACTGCTTGTTAATGATGATCGTGTTTGTTTGAAAAGTAGCGCACTATGTAGGGGACACAGTGATTTGAGACGGTGTTATTCTCTTCTCAGACAGCAAACACTGCAAGCGAGAAAGGGGAGCTGTGCAGATTGAACCTCTGCAGCGTCTCGTTCCAGAGCTCGTGTGAGTTAACTCAGAGCTCATTTTGGAGGCTCTGCTCCACAGAAATGTGTTAAAAGCTTTAGTTTCGATTCACAGTTGATTCACCGATTGTTATTATTTTTATTTATTTATTTTTTTGACGCTAGAAGCTTCATTTTATATTATTAACGAACCATAAGCATAAGTTAAACCACACAAACCGTGACATTTCTTCTATTTCGAAGTCTCCACAGACTTCTCCGTTAAAGTTAACCTTGCATTCTCTAAAAAGTAGCGGGTGGTGGTCGCGAAGGTGACTCGTAAGGTTTTATGTGTTGCCCCCTTTCGCCGCAATTTTCTTTCGGCCTGTTTTGCAGACAGGGTGGTCATCTGCAGACAGGGTGGTCATCTGCAGACAGGGTGGTCATCTTCAATTAACTTTCCTTCTGCATCCTTATAAAACCCAAAACATGACCAAACGTCAGACTTGGTCTTCTTAGAAGGCTGAAATATCTCCGAATCTCTGTCACTACATTCCGCCATGTTCTCTCTTCTCTCCCTCTCACCCACTCTACACACACACACACACACACACACACACACACACAGAGCTGCGTCTGAGAGAATGATTCTGCCTTTGTTTGACTCTGTAAAGCGAGTTTTTCACACCGCGGTAATCGACCGCGGTTTTAACGATACTTTAAAGTTCAAACGGTACTACTAACCATCATTAATTTTACCGCGGTTTACCGTGAAACCGGTTACCGTTTCATCTCTACTTTGAGGTTTATTTATTATGTGTGAAATATGTTTGTGTTTGCATGACTATGTTTGGAATGTTTTGCTCTGGTGGTGTGTAATGCCCCTACTGGCTTTGAGCCAGTCGCACACAAATAAAGATGAATGAAATGTCTCCTACTCTTCACTTAAAGGAAGAGTCAGCTTAACAAGTCTTCATGTTTGGTTTGGTCTGAGACTGTCTGTGCTGTCGATTTCTAGATGTACCCTCCTACTTATCCTGCTCCAGGTGACAGTACAGTTCATCCTCCTCCCTCTGGCCCATCATTTCCTCCACAACCACAGTATGGAGGACAACCTGCCATGCCTCCTAACCCTGTGAGTGTCTCACACACAAACAGAAGCATGTAAGCATTAAAAACGTTCTAGATGGAGGCCACATGTCTTGTTAATTGTGGAATATGTGGTTGTGTTTGCAGGGTTTTACCCCAGTGATGTATAATGCCCCTCCTGGCTCTCAAAATGAGGGAAATAAAGGGGATATAAAGACGAATGAAATATCTTCTGCCACTCCTCTGCTTGGACCTTCTAATCTTGAGGTACTTTGGGAGGAGAAGGAGCTTCACCTTACACTTCACTCCTTTTATCACACACTTTTTCTGTTCCTGTAACACTTATTTAATTTTCCCATAAAAGGATTTACAGTGTTTTAAGTTATAAAATTAAATTATAAATGTGTCATCTGTTTCATTTTAGAAATGTATTAATATATTCTTAAATTTACATCTCCTTTCTCTTCCCTAATCATCACATGAAATATGTTTTAGATCTCGTAACATGTCTAGCCAGTTTAACCCCTTTTCACAGTAGCCATAAAAAGCCATTTTAGCCTTTTTGGAGATCCCTCAGTTCAGCCTTGAATTTTAATGTTTCTAATTACATTAGAATTATAAAAACTATTTTATTTAAATTGTAACCATATTTTGAATTAAACTTTTCTATTTGATTACATTAATAAAAATAACAAGTTTATTTTAATTCCTTTGGCAGAATGGCCACTAGGAGGCCAACAGAAAGGGGTTATTATTTTCCCACCAAAGTAGTAGAAACAGAATTATCTGCTTGCTATGTGTAAAAAGTTAGTATATTTCATGAGAATTAGGGGTGCATGGATAGAATTGGGCCAATATGTATATTTTATATACATATCATCCAATATCGATACCAGTGATGATACATAAATATTTATAAAATGTAGAAATTAGAACTAAATCCATCTGGATTAGCATTACAGAGAAATTTTATTTATTACAGTGTTACAAATGCAAAAAAATTAATAAAATGCAGACATTTTAGCAGTGTTGCCTAAACATTCTGCTCTTCCAGAGTACAATACAAATGTCACCCAATTTTGGTTTTGAATTATCAATCAAATTGAAACATCTGTACAATGCCATGTCTTTTCAAAGCAAATATCTGCTAATACTGATATGATTGCGATATCATTGTGCATCCATACTGAGAATGATTACTGAATTCAGAATATTCAGACTGTACTATGCTACAGTCGTTACAGGGAGAAGCAGGAATTGACTTCTTACTTGAAGCACTAGAAAGCAGCTGTCCTTTGGAGCCTGCCATTGATTTTATTAACTTGGTTGTTATGGTGTACGCAATACAGCGAGGGGAAACAGGTATTCAAAAACTTTTGTTTTTGTTATTTCATATACTTCCAATGCAAATATCAACTTTTTGATTTGCACACAAATATCCACTTTTCGATTTAGGACACATTTACACACATAATATCTTATGACGAAAAAAAAGCGTAAAAAGAGAAATGTTTAAAAAATTAAATTAATGGGCAAAAACTTTTTTAGAGAACACAAATTAATGCCATTTAGTTGTTGGCTTGGAGACGTCTACAGTAAGAAGTAATTTGCTATTTGTGGTGAGCACGGTGGTTCAGTGATGGTCCATTCCTTTTGCTAGTTGTTTTCAATTCCCCAAGGTTACAAGGGTCCCTCCGATCGACTCACCATTTCAAAATCCTCCATAAATATTCAGTGGAGTCAGGCGATTGACCAGGCTGTGCAAACATCTTCAACTTTTATAGAAACTAGTCTAGTCTATGTTTGGGGTCATTGTCATCCGCATTTTTTTTCTTTCGATGACATGTAAAGCCCCAGTACCATTTACAGAGAAGCAGCCATGAACTTTTCACTTGCATATTCAATACATCAAACCCTGTACTGACAGGGATGTTTTTGTATATATATATTAGAAGTCACAGTACATGTGTGTACATTTGAAGTGGATATAAGTGGAAGTATATTAAAGAACAAAAACAACAGTGCCTGAATACTTGTTGACTCTTTCTGGCAAAAAAAACAAAAAACTGAATAGGGGTGCGGGAAAAACTCGATTCTTAGATGCATCGCGACGCGGACGTGAACGATTCTGAATCGATTCATAAATGTCAAAAATCGATTTTCTAAATATTTAATTTATAACGCAATGTTGACGGAGTGCAGAAGGCGGAACTGGAAGTGGGTAAGTGCAGCGCCCGGACAGTGACGGCACATAACAAAAACACTGCTGGATGAGCGAGAAATCCGACAGGCTCCCTCTGCATTAAAGCCAGGTTAGGTCAGGAGTCACAACGCAAATGTTCAGAAGAGCCATTTTGCCATTCAACAAAGTCAGACCACCTTGGGAGTCATTTAGTCATTTAATGTCCAGTATGTTTCAGTATGTGTTAATGTCCTAGTATGGGCTAAAAATATAAACGAAAGCGCAGATTTACTTTGCTCTGCTTTAAGCTTCAGCTATAGCCGCTTTCCTCCCATCTCTGCCAGAAAACTTTTCTTCAAAACTAGAAGAGTTTCTTGTAAAATGTCTCTCATCGTTCAACTGTTTTACGAGGCTGAATTCGCTTCACATTCTCCAGCTTCTCGTTCTAATTTTCCTTTAGAAATTCGAAAGAGAAGCGACTTCATTTTCGCAACTTTTTAGAGAAAGACAGTCTCTCATTGCAGATTTAACCAACCGCGCTGCTTATAAATGTGAATAAGTCCTTCAAATGTTCGTCTTAATCTCTGTTTTGTCGTTCGCTACTGGCGAATCCAGACTTCGGTGCTGTTACCTGCTGTCTGCTGTCTGTTCTCAGTCGTTGAGAACCAGGGCTTTCACGCTATGCTGCACACTTGGGAGCCGAGATTCAGCGTCCAGTCTCGAAAATACCCCCCCCACACACACACACTCTCTCTACAACGAGACGAAAACCGAAGTTATAAAATCACTAAAGAAAACGGGAAGGATGGCTGTAATGCGCTGCGTGGACACCCATTACCACTGGATCTTATTTCAGGGTAACAGCGCATTTTATCGCAGATGAGTGGCAGCAGCGTCTCTGAATGAGAGCCTTCTAGTTCACTTGCCACATCACTTCCATTTGATTTATTAATAAAAGATATTTTAGATATGTGAAGCAAAGTATTTGTAATGATCCATAATGCATTTACATTATGGATCATTACAAATACTTTGCTTTAAAACTACCAAGTCCTCAGACAGTAGGAAGATAGAAATCCTGTATAGAGAAAACAGATGCATCGAGATGCATCGATAATCGTTTTATAATCGCATCGCAGCCCTCTGAATCATAATCGAATCGTGAGGTACCTAAAGATTCCCGCCCCTAGAAATGAATAACAAAACCCCTGTTTAACCTGAATGTTAAAGGTTGTGCCAAAAGTCAAAAAGACTAGAAATGCGAATAAATATAGCAGTCTTAAAGTTGACCTGTTAATTATCAGTGCTTTACAGCAGTCCAGCATACTGTAGAAAAATACAATTAGCACATAACTGAACAAGCTGGAACACGTTTTCTGAATTTTCTGTTCTTTTAGGTTCATGACACATTAAACATTTGTACAGTTTTTGTTTTTCATTCTATGACAGGAGCTGTGTTTTTGGTGTTGTGGGTGCATGCTTTGGGAAATTTACACCTTTTAGTGGTAGCTGAGTGAACGATTTTAAGTAGAACTAATATAGATGTCATACATCTATCCTCCTGTTTTTTATTGATTTGATTTGTTTTTATTATTTGTTTTCTTTGTTTATCTGTGTCTGTCTCAACACATTATAATCATTTATTTCCCCTGATAGGTGGGACCACCTCCAGCCCCTTATACTGGCATTGACATCCTTAACTCTAACTCCGCTGCCCAGTTCAACATTGACACAGGAAAGAGCTCTTCTTACAACTTCCTGTAGTTAAGCCTCCTTTACCTCCACACAGAGTGTTCAGTAAAAGAGTCAGGAGCAGGGACAGCCGTCCTTTCACGATAGAGTGTAATATTCATCAAAGTGATATTCAGGTTCATAAAAGGAAAGATGGATGTTCACTCTTTTCTTGTGAAGGGATTGTGCTCTCTAGAAACACTTGAATACTGATTTTTTTTATTAGTAAGATTAAACATATCAGGGTCTGCAGATAGAATGCTACTTCATATACTAATGAGCTGGTTTTGACTGGTGATTAAAAATGTTGAACTCAATGCTGCCTTGAACTGAAACTGTTCATTAGCAGTTTTAGAACATTTGTTACTTTTCTTGTTTCATTTAAAAAAAAAAAGAATTAAACAATTTTTAAGAATATGAACCATCATTTAAGTAATGTGTATAAGTATTAAGTATTGCACTCTGCTAATTGTCTTCCTCTCAGTGTAAGTTGTATGTAGTACCAGTACTGAGATCTTTCTGCACCAAGCAGTTCAGTGCTTTTCCTGCTCTAACATCAGCTAATTACTAAGCCATCTGTGAGTTGAATGTAGAGAGAAAGAGCAGGGAAAACACAACACACACATTGCATTAAAAAGTTCTTACTGACACAAGCACTTAATATTCATATATTCAGAGATATTCAGAATATACTCCACACAACCTTCCAGTGATCAAGATTTAGGTCCCTTGACCAGAAATCTGTTGTTGTTGAATATTCCCCAATTGTAGATACTTAATACATATGATTCCTGCCAGTTGCCAGTTTACTAGGTACACCTACCTAGGAACCTGTCGTACTTCTTTACTTTGCAGAATCCATGTAAATGTGAATCTAGGCAAATATATACTGCAGGGTGTGTTTTGCATGAATGTTGTGCCCTATAGAGCAGTAGTGCCCAGCCCTGTCCTAGATACCCCTCCCCTGCACACATTTGTGTTTTGTCTGCTGTAACACATACACTTTAACTCAGGAAGAGCTGATTGGGTGTGTTGGCGAGCTGGAAAACACTAAAATGTTTGGGGCAGTCTTGCTTCATTACCAGGATTAGGAACCAGGGGTCCAGTTCACAAAAGTCTTTCAAGTGTGTGGTTTTTTTTTTTTCCAATTTCATATTTAAAAAAAAATTAAGATGAATTGTTACTCTTCAAAAAGTGTCTTAAGAATCTCATTTCTTTGTTAGCTATTCTTTTAAGAACATTTCTAGTAAGTGATATTCTTGAAAAAAGTTCTTAAATATTTACTTACCCTTATGAGAGCCTCATACTTACCTTAGATGTAAATGTTGAGAAGATAAGCCTCTAAAACTGTTAACTTCTAAAGAATGTCACAAAATATAATAATTAATATAGACTATAGATTTTTTTTCCCCCTGTTGGCCATTTCCTCCACTGTGATTTCTAGTTCTTGTTTTGCTAAAATCTGATGAAAATTTGGTTCAGTTTTTAGATCTGCATTTAAGAACATTCTTATGAACTTCTCAATGTTTGTCTTAGGATCTTTTATAATTTTTTTTATAAGGAAAGCTTTTGTGAATCCAGCCCCAGGGCTGTAGAGGAAGAGTGAAACTGCTACCTCTGGGCATTAATGAATTACTATTATTATTATTATTATTATTATTTTATTTTCTATTAATATAATATTTTTTTGTGTGTGTGTTAGCCCATAAATGCGGAAGGAAGGTGTAGAGCTAAAGTTACTGCGAGAAAACTGAATATCTTATTGCGGCTGTATAACTGTAGTAACTGTCTTCAGATAATCATTACAGTGGTGAGACTGGAAAACTCAATAAACAGATGAGGAGACCAACACGCTAAAAGCTAAAGTTAGCAGTGTTAGATAAGGTTATATAGGTACCTGGCTTTTAGAAACCCTACCTTAGTTTGTCTCCTTTTCTGTGGCTTAAAGGGTAAAAAACTTACCTCTGGCACCCATTTTGTGCTAAATAAAGACTGAATTGCTGTTTTCTTTATGATTTAGATTGACGACAAGTAAGTGTTATGCTAATTCTAGCCTGGCTGTATTAATCCGCCTGTAGCCCAGTGGCAAGATTAGCAGTCAAAATTGGTTGACACCACCAAGATTCCCAAAGGTTGTATGATGTATTTATGTAATGCATGCAGGATGTTGTAGTAAGAGAACATTTAATAAGCGAAAACATGCAAATGATGTAAAATCATACATTCTGTCAGACTGGTGAGGCTGAAGGACATGTGGGCTACAGAGTACTGTATGAAATGACAACATTAAACTGTGATTTTAGGCTGAAATGCCCTTTAAGTAGGAAGACAACACATTCATTCTGTTTAGCTCATCAGAAGCTTTTCTTTGTGAGACAACTAAATAAGAGTGATGTGGCCAGTCGGCCTTTAACACATTTTTAGAGGTTTTTAACAGTGATGTGTGCCGACCTATTTCATCTGCTTTGTATGGTAACACAAAGGTGTATTAGTTTTGTTTGTTGGATGAAGGGAAACTTTTCCATTTTTTTGGACTCTGAAATGTGCCATTTTGCTTATTTATTTTTTGTTTAATTAATATGAGCTAGTTCATTTAACTGGAATGAATATTATATGTTGGCCAGTTAGAATATACCCTATATGGACAAAAATATTGGGACACCTACACATTACAACTACAGAAGCTTTTATAAAATCTTCTCTAAATCCATAGGCATTAATAGGGAGTTACTCCCCCTTTTGCATCTGTAACAGCTTCCGCTCTTTTGGAAAGCTTTCAACAAGATTTTGGAGTGTGTGGGAATTTTTATCAGTTCATCCAGAAGAGCATTTGTGAGGTCAGACACTGATGTTGGAAGAGAAGACCTGGCTCACAATCTCCATTCTAGTTCATCCCAAAGGTGTTTGACGGGGTTGAGGTCAGGGCTCTGTGTGGGCCAGTCAAGTTCTTCCACACCAAACTGAGGTGGAGTTATGCTGGAATAGAAAACTTCCCTAAACTGTTCCCACAAAGTTGGAAGCATACAATTCTCCAAAATGTCTTGTGCTGAAGCATTAAGATTTCTCTTCACTGCACCACTTATCAGATTTTGGCTGCATCCCAAACTCCAGACTAACATATTACTCTATGTAGTAGCTGCCTTTGCCTCAAATGGACTCCAACAGTCAAACACCATGTTGCTTGACTGAGAGGAATCTGTTTCAGAGACACAAATAAACATACACTATATGGACAAAAGTATGGGGACACACCTCTTAATCATTAAATTCAGGTATTTCATTCAGTCTCATTGCCACAGGTGTATAAAATCAAGCACTATTCATGCAGTCTGCCTTTGCAAGCATTTGTGAAAGAATGGGTTGTTCTAAAGAGCTCACTGAGTTTGAGTGCAGTACTATGATAGACTGCCACCATTGCAACAAGTCAGTTTACAAAATTTCTTCACAATCAGCTGTGAGTGGTATTGAAAAGTGAAAGCGTTTAGGAACCACAGCAACTCAGCCACGAAGTGTCAGACCACGCAAAGTTACAGAGCAGGGTTGCCGAGTGCTGAGGCGCATAGTGCATAAAAGGTGCGAACGCTCTGCTGACTCAATAACTGCAGAGTTCCATACCTCCACTGGCATAAATAGCAGCACAAAAACTGAGCACTGGGAGCTTCATGGCATGAGTTTCCATGACCGAGCAGCTGCATACAAGCCTTACATCATCAAGCACACTGCCAAGCGTCTTATGGAGTGATGTAAAGCATGCCGCCACTGAACTCTAGAGCAGTGGAAACATATTCTGTGGAGCAACAAATCACGCATCTCTATCTGAATGACTCTGGGTTTGGCAAATGCCAGGAGAACATTACCTGCCTGACTGCATTGTGCCAGCTGTAAAGTTTGGTGGAGGAGGGATAATGCTACGGTCTTTAAGGGTTGGCCTAGGTGTTTGACTGTTGGAGTCCATTTGAGGCAAAGGCAGCTACTACATAGAGTAATATGTTAGTCTGGAGTTTGGGATGCAGCCAAAATCTGATGAGTGGTGCAGTTTAACATGACTTTTGCGTAATGTTGAAAATTGGATATTGCAGCAATTTAAATAAGTGCTACTGTTTTTCTTTTTTTGTTGCTTTGCGTTTATTTAACCATTCCCTTTGTACAGACACTCTAATCTTTGGTTAGTTAAAAATGTATCCAGTTGAAAAAATCACACTTTGTAGGCTGTACTAACAAAAGATGACCAACTAATTAACTACACAAATACATACTTTCAGTGGCACTTGGGAAGATTATAATGTAGATTTTCAGCCTGGCATGACATGCAAATGGAACAAAGAAACACCAGAACATGAGATCCACTCTGCGTTAGAGAATAAAATGGACAAACTTATCCAGAAGAAGACTTCTAAGTAATATTTTAGTTTCCAACCAAATGAACATGGAAAATCATTGGATTTTAATCATGCCACTTGTGCAGCTCATATGTGGTGCTTCATAACTGAATTTGGATCACCATGGTAACGTTTATCGCAATAATTCTGCGAACAATAGTTCTTTGTCTAGATTTACATTTGCAAGCTTAGATGACATGCTGTAAACCTTTGTTGAATTCAGGTGTGATTTAGCTGGTCGTAGCCCATCTGTTTACCTGGCCTTTCTCTCCATTGTCCTTTGACCATTGCTTTATTGCAACACTATATTCATGCTATGCTACAAGGTCACTCATTTCAGCACACAAATTAACACTAACTGGTGCTAGAAATGCTGATCTTACTATTTTGTTTTATCTCACTGTACAGTCATGTGACATATGACTTGTTGCAGTTTGTGTGAAGGTGGGGAGGTTTACCTAATAAACTGGCAACTCAGGGTATGTCAGAGTTACTACAGTGGTTCCCAGAGTCAGTCCTGGGCACCCCATTTTCTGCATGTTTTTCCATACTCAAACACACTTCATCCACCACACGAGGGGTTTGTTTATCAAGTGAGCTGGATCAGCTAGATGAAGGAAGTTCCTAAAATGGGCATAGCATTGGGTTCCCAGGACTGACCTTAGGAAAACCCTGGTTTACTACCTCATATTCTCATTATGGCTGCAAACATTATTCCTGCATTGTACAAAATCCCTTTAAAATTGTACCTCATTATCTAGTGCCTGAGATGATAATAGATTATTATGCTAATAACCCCTATGATATTTAGTCAGGTATTTTCACATTTTTATTTCTTGCTGTACTGTCAGGTTCATTATTCATATGTAATCAGTATGTTGGTACCTAATGTTGCTATGTGTTTGATACTGAATAAAATTCTTTTATCTCTGCTAGTATTTAGGAATGCTAACACTAGGATGTAGTGTAAGTTATAATGATGTAGTTAAACTAGCCAGTCTCATAACTGTTTTATATCAATAGGTATGGAATGGCACTGTATTTAATGTGCTCTTTACTTATGTATACACATTAACCAAATTAATAAAGTGAAGTGCAATATATTATGTTTTATGCTACATGTGCACTACTTAAAATTACAGCATCCCCAGCATAAAACTCCTGTTTCAGCTACACCTATTGCTAACAGGTGGATGACATCTAGCACATAGTTATGCAGTCTCCATAGGCAGACATTGGCAGTAGAATGGTTAATACTGAAGAGCTCAGTGATTTTAAATATGGCTCTGTCATAGATTTGCACCTTTGCTACAAGTCAGTTGGTGAAATTTCTGTAAGTTTTATTAATGTGAAAAGGAAGTTTCTAGAAACAATGACAGCACAACCACAAAGCAGAAGATCATGCAAACTCACAGAGCAGCGCCGCCAAATAAGTCCCTTACCTGTTCCAGAATGACTCTGCCCCTGTGCACAAAACGGGGTTCATAAAGACATAGTTTGACGAGTTTGGTTTATAGGAACTCCAGTGGCCTGCAAAGAGCCCTGACTTCAACCCATTTTTACACCGTTTGGATTATTTGGAATGTTGATTGTGAGTCAGGCCTTCCCAAAGTCAGTGCCTCATTTCACAATGGTCTTTTGGCTGAATGGGCACAAATACCCAGTGACACACTTCAAAATCTTGTGGGGGCAGCTCTATATGAATGGGAAGTCCAACAAACTTATATAGGTGTGAGGGTCGGGTGTCCACATACTTTTCCACATACAATTAAGCCTGCAGCAGTTCAGCCTGACCCGTTCATGTCAGACCCATTAATATAATACTGCTTACCTCATCGTGTTTTCTAACACGGGCGAGAGGAAATTTACCCAGCCATTTTACTAACAGTCCCTTCACTATTTAGAATTTGATCATGCTCCTCTTAATGTTAGTGTTGAGTCCTTTGAGGATCCTACATCCATGCAATTTCTGTGATTTACAGTAATAAACAGACTATGGAAATGAATCAGTCAGTGGATTATCATTGTGTTCCTCTGTTTTCTGTATTACACTTAAGATCTATGCTCAGTATGCTCAGTTTACCATTAAGCTCGTTTGATTGGAAATGAACCCTGTCTTAGTTTGATGGAGTAAGTGAAGGGTGAAATGCATGTAAGTATTTCTGTGATGTCATAATGAGTTTGTCCATCAGACACAAAGGGTGAGTGTAGTTTTAAACTGCAACATTGAGCATACATGCTCCTTTTTATCTTGATCCTAAGTGACCCCAAGGCCCTATGTATGAATGAAAAAATGTATACTTAAAAAATTTTGTTTAGGAAAATAAGAAATAAGTTTCGCACAGCTGTTGACCTTGGCAGGACACTGCCTGACTCCATGCTTATTTCTCTTAACACTTGCAAACAAAAATTCTTGGTCTTGTCGGTTATGATGACAATTACTAGCGCTAGCAGGACAGATTCGCAAATTCTCACTCTCTCTCTCTCTCTCTCTCTCCCTCCCTCTCTCTCTCTCTCTCTCCCTCCCTCTCTCTCTCTCTCTCTCTCTCTCTCTCCCCCCCTCTCTCTCTCTCTCACTAGCTCGCTCTTTCATTCTCTCTGATTTGTTCTTTTGCGGGGTGCAGTATCAAACCAGTGTAACACTTTTTAGTCTGTCAGAAAAGCTTTATAAATATACCTTTGCACAGTATCATATTTAGACTCCATTCAGCTTTACACTTTAGATAGCTTTACACTATCTTAGCCATCTCATACAAGAAATATGATAACATTATGTAAGATCATCAGAGGCATAGTCAAGGGCAAGCCAATGCCATCCTAGCATGAAGCATGGCCACCCTTCTGGCCACTCCAGTTATGGAACATGAGACAGTCAACCATGATCAGTCAGCCATCATCAATAAAGCATCTGTTACACTGTATGGTGAAAATCTGCCTTCAGTGTAGTTAAGCTAGCTTATACATCGTTGTCTTTTTATTAATGTATACCTGTAGTGAGAGCAGCCTAAATGAATAAGTAATATAGACTGTCTGTATGGTATGTTTTTCTTAGAGTTTACGATGGGCACATTTAAATGCATAATTTCTTCATGAATGACTACAATATGTTACATCATCACAGATTTGTGACTGATTTGGCTTTGTTTTAATGCAGTATTGCTGTTTTGTTTGTTTTTTTTAGAAGCAAAGCATTTCATGGACCTGTCTCGTAAATCATTACTGACTCACTCACTTATTTATTCACTCATTCACTAATATTTAACAAGATTGTCCACAAGGGGGTGCTATTTGCACTGAATCAAGAGCGCCCGGGACGAACGGTATTGCTTGGTTGATACTGGAGCGCACATATCTGGACATCTGGATGTTAGTGGCCCACTGCATTCTGTGTGGCCAATGGCAAAATACAAAAGTCTGGCCCTGCTTTTTAGGTTATATCAGACGATTAACCCCTGAAAATCCCAGGATTATTACATAATAAGGCTTATTATTCAGGGACTTCAGTGCTAACTGGCTGAGATATTCTTAGGTTTTAGAAGTGGGTAATAAAACTTTGGGCCTGCTGATGGTTCCAGGCCATTTAAGGGTCTCTCTCTCCCTCAGAGACTGCGGCTGCTTCTGGAACTAACAGTGTGTGTTTTACAAGTTAGCTGCTGGGCTGAGGTTGAAATTCGGTAGGTTGTGACTGTAGACTGTCTGTTACATTAGCTATTTTGAAACGCTTACTTGCTGCATTGAATCAAATCCGGTGCTTTTTTATCAGTTTGTGTTTGTTTGAGTGGGATAAAGGGATAACTGAAACAACAGGTAGATAAGCAGAACTTGAAAGATGATCATGGAAAACGCAGTCTCATGTTGTTTACTCAAAACTAGAAATCAAAATCAATTTATTTTCTGAGGCTTTTGGAGGGCTCCCTCATTTAGGTCCATCATTACCTGCAGTCTGACGCCTCCATCACATAATTCCATCCAATATTTTCTTCTCTTGAGCTTCAAGATATGAACAGTTGTAGTTTTACTGGGCTTCAGACTCACGACCTCCTGATGTTGGGTTGAACTGTTAGATTATTAGACAGTTGCTCCACATGTGACCTCACTACTCTTCAATCTCAGGTGTTCCTGAGGGGTGCAACAGGCTAAACTATCACCCCAACAGGAGATTGTGAGTTTAAACCCCAGCAAAACCATAGAATTGTGTGATGGTGTCAGAGTTAGTGAGGAAACTGTGTAAGAAACTAATTCTAAAGGTATTTGCAGAAGGCCAGTATCTGCAGATCAAAGCTCAAGCCATTCTGTGATGTAGCCCGGTGCTACGTCATTTAGAACCTTAAAAACTAGTAGCAGAACTTTAAAATCTATCCTTAAAGGTTACAAACAATGAGTAGACAGTTGAAATACCATGAACGCTGCTATTATATTCATAATTTGGTCACATCACTGATGTTTGCAGGTCATTTTTGACCCTGTGTGGTTAAATCCGCTAGAACATGTGTTACTCTACAGTTTAATTTGACTGTACTTGCCAACTCAACAACTCAGAGATTTTTTTATTGTATTTTACTGTTCATAATTACCTTATTTACCTTAAAATAGGACTTTTGTTTTCATTACAAAACACATTTTAGGGCATTTTCTGGGATTAAATTTCGATTTTGTATCTAGGAGCCGTATATTCCACTGGATTATCTCTTTCTAGCCTGTATGTACTTCACAGATATTTTATTTGTGTTGATGACATCACATTATGACTAAATTCACAACTTTTATGTCATGGATCAAAATTGACCATTATGTTACAAAGGAAACCAAGAGTTGTATTCATTCAAGATCTCGTGGGCACTGGGGTCAGTCTGATTATATTTTGAGGTTCCGTTCTACCATTCTATTCTTCCAAGTTTCAGAGGGGGGGTGAAGACCACACTATTTGGGCATGTTTTGACATTAATGCCTTTTTTTATTCAGAGAGAAAAGTGTGCTCTATCCTGCACTGGACCCTTATCGGTTTCATCCCTCCCTTAATGTGTGTTTGTGTGTGTATGAGAGAGAGAGAGAGAGAGAGAGAGAGTCTGAGTGTGTGTGTGTGTGAGAGAGATAGAGAGAAAGAAAGCTTGTAAATATGTGTGTGTGTGTGTGTGTGCGTGCTTGTGTGAGAGAGAGAAAGAGAGAGAACCTGAGTATGTGTATGTGTGTGTTTGTGTGAGAGAGAGAGAGAGAAAGAGAGAGAACCTGAGTGTGTGTGTTTGTCTGTCTATCTGTCTATAGTGTGTCTGAGTGTGTGTGTGTGAGAGAGAGAGAGAGAAAGAGAGCCTGTGTGTGTGTGTGTGTGTGTGTGTAAAAGCTTACAAATTGTTATAACCTTCATCTGCACTGTTTGCGCAGTCTGCCACATTCTCGATTGTCATTCTGAACTACAGGATCAACTTTGACCCTTCACTGTATCTTTGTACCCAAATAGTGTCTGGACTCTCAAATTCATCATCTTCATTTTCACACGTTTATATCATCACTGTTAAGGAAGTGATCAGGTTTCATTAAAAAGTGGTATTTAAGATCAGTTTTGACACAGAACATCCAAGGCGATAATAATAAAGTTTGAAAAGCATTGCATAGTTGAAAATTTGCCAGGAAAAGGATGCCTGAGCTTAATGCCACCACATGCAGTGACGAAAAGGCAAAGAGGAACTGAAAGAACACAGTTACCCAACTACATAGTTAAGTTGAATCTCAAGGTTTTTCTCTGAATCCTGTCAGAGGCCACTGATTGATTGATCGACTAGCCACTTCATTAGGTACACCTCCTTATTTCTACGCTCTATTTTATTAGCTCTATTTATGATATACATGCTTTTTGTAGTTCTACAATTACAGACTGCAGTCCACCTGTTTCTCTGCATACTTGGTTAACCCCCTTTTTCTCTGTTCTTCAATAGTCAGGACCCCCACCACAGAGCAGGCATTATTTGGGTGGTGGATAATTCTTAGCACTATAGTGACACTGACATGGTGATGGTGTGCTAGTGTATTGTGCTTTTACGAATGGATCAGACACAGTAATGCTGCCCTTCAGCACTTTGTCTTTTTGGGTGTGTCCTCACAGTAAGCATATCACAGTATACACAGTTCTTAAGATGTTTTCATAAATAAATATTATATATATATATATACTGTTCATATTTTCACATATGGGGCAGCACATTTGGTCATTTGAGACAATATAATTTAGGAAACCTTTCAGTCACAGACTTTACTACATTTCATTTATATTTGATAAAATAACACAGCCTAACATTGTTTTAGATGCAGTATTTCAGTAGTGACTGTGTTTATCTTAGATATAAGCCATAAATGAGATTAGGCTGAATTTTGGTAAACAAAATAAAAGTTTGCTGTCCCAGGCCTCTGATGATGCACTGCCTTCATTTCTTCTCTGTATTCCTCTATTGCTCCTGTCTTTCTTTCCTCGCTCTACTTGTTATACTCCTTGCATTTTTTCTTGCTGCTTCACACTATAATGCTTTCACTACATTTAGTTGTCCAAAAATAAAAAGTAAAAAAATAAAACAAAAACAAAAGTAAAGCAACTTTTCTCTTTTTATGAGTCTGAGCACCAGTCATTTGAGACCAGGTTTGTCTCTTACAGTAAATTACTGTCAACCATATCATCTATATCTGGATTATACATTAATCATTCTTAATGTGGTCATATTAGGTTGTTTTTCACTGTAAAAGCAGATATTTAACATGGTTCCATATTATCTCTCATGTAATAGAATTTGGGACAGCTTAAAAATTAGAAATACTGTATTTAAAAAACTATAAATAATAAAATATTTATTTTGTTATACACACACATACATGTATATATATATATATATATATATATATATATATATATATATATATATATATATATATATTGCATATTTTGCAATTGGAAAACCTCAGATGATTATCTACACAGGAAGCAAACTCACTACCTTTGAGTTACTACTTCCATAAATACACACAGAACAGCTTGTTATAACAACAATATAGTCTAACTGAGAGAATCCATAGAGAAGTTATTATTTTAAGAGCAAGACTGTGAATAAAAACACCTAAACTGCACTGCATGTTTGCCATGATTGATTCAAACCTGCAGAATCTATGATGTCTTTATCAGCAACTAACAGGAAACTAAGGTGCTAACTTCAGCCTTGTGGCTGTCATTTTGGGAAACACTTGCTCATCTAACGACGGTTCCTCTGATGGAATTACCGAAATAGTTATAGCTAGACAGACAGCTAAGCTTTTGGGAAATGTAGTACAGTTTAGATGAATCTTGAGGTTTTTAGAATTCACAATCAGGGCTGCGTCTTGCCTTTTGGGGGGCCCATCTTACTAGCTGATGCAGCTTACTGTAAAATTAGTGGCTAACTAATAACAGTGACTATCACAAGCTGTCTAAATTATGTAGATTTATAACTGACTTTTTATAACTGGCTTTTTATTGTTAGAAATGCTTTACTTTCTAGGTAGTATGATTTCTTTTTATTACTTTAGGCTTTTATGTGCATGGGTCCAAGGATTAATCGCAGCCTGAGTGTGTAAACCTGGATTAATCAATCACAGCCTGAGTATCTAAACCTGGATTAATCACAGCCTGAGTATCTAAACCAGGATTAGTCACAGCCTGAGAAACAGAGAAAGTTGTTAGGTTTTGTGAAACTAAGATGAAAGTCTGAAAAGATTAAATTTAGAAAGCCTGTCTAAGTTGAACCTGCTTTGTTAGACTGACCCCAAAAACACTACTTCTTGGTGTCCAGCCACAAGCAAAAACAAATGGCAAAAACCACCCAAAAACATACCTTTATCTTTACACAATGTAACGGTACACTCAGAAGTTGTTACAGGGCCCCCTAATGAGCAGTTGCTTATGTTACTTATTAGGTAGAGCCTAATATACATGTCCTCCTGCAGTGCATATTTCTAAGTAGCTCCCCACTTAAAACAGTAGGACATTTTGATAGCCTTAACCCTTTTATCAAAAAGTGCTATCAGCATTAAAAGAATAAATAGGATATTTTGATAGCCTAAATTACCTTATCAGGTGGATGTAATAATATTAAGCTTAGTTTGTACGATGGACTTGAGGTAAGGCTGAATTAACACTAACATAAGTCACTACACTACACTGATGATACGCGCGTGCATGGTAGGACCACTCAATGGGTAGGACAAAATGTTAGAACATACTGTTCACAATCCACTGTCTGATGCCACCACTATGACCGGAAACCTTTCGCAAGAGTTCCACGAAAGAAGCCATTCCTCAGAACAAACCACAAACTGCAGAACTCATATGCATAATGTTGTTGGTGCTACAAATGGAATTTTTTCTGTGGTCAGATGAGACAAAAATTGAAATCTCTAGTTGTACACATCACCTTGATGTTTGGTGAAAAAAGGACTACATACAATGTATGAAAAGCACATGATACATATTTTGATAGTGTCAAATACAGCAGGGCATCATTGATGCTGTTTTCCAGGTGAGAAAAAAATAAATGCATGTATGACCATGGCAGCTGCTGGGGCAGTAAATGTCTTGACCACACTAGGAGCAAGTAGGGGCACATTTCATTATATTGAAAAGTGTAAAAATATTTTCTGTTTGTAGTAAAGTGTGTTACCATGATCACTTTGTGGTGATATGTGTGTGTCTTTGCTAAGCTAAGACAGTAATGACAGAAATGAGCAGCAGAGTGCTTTCAGTCTGAAGTTTAAGTTTGAGACCGCCTCTATAAACTATATATTAAAAATGTACAAGAAAAATTATATTTATGATCAAGGGGTTTGGAGAGAGCAGTACATTTACTTTTGAAAAAGAAAAAATATTTTATATGTAACATTTAATGTGAAATGTGTGTGTTGTGCTTGATTAGTAGTACAAATAAAAATGTAAAAACTAGACATAATTTGGTGTATTAATTTTATATTCTAAAAACTGTGTGCAGGTTTATGCATCATATTCCAGAACATGTTAAACTCCTGCACAGATGTGGTTTAGCTTTGCAGTAAATGTACACTGTTCTGAAGTGAGGCGTTTATCCCTCATTTGTCTCTTTTTTTACTTTGTTAAGTAAGTACCTTACTATTCATTGAGATAACAATGCCTGTTTTTTTTCCTTCTTCTTTGTTCCAAGAATTTCCACCCTTTACAGGAGAAGGAAATTGTTCCATATTTCGGTGGCAGTTCAAATTACCTCCATCACTAATGTGCTGTTGTTGCGCAACCAGATTGCCACACTAAACCACCACATCTTACCGGGGGGCTATTTTTTGACTTCTCTTTGTATGCACGCCATGTTTCTTACCGTTACTCGCACAGTTTCCTTTCAAATTATCAGAAAAATATGTTGTTGGGGTTAAACATAAAATCATTTTTCCATAGCATAACATAACATAACATAACATAACATAACATAACATATAAAGGCCTAAAAGCACTTAAAAGATACAGATAGAGGTCAAAGCCTACAGATAACAGGATCAAAAACTGTGATGAAGGTGAGAAATACAGGGGTCCTGAGGGGTCTGGGACCATCTAATTAACCTGTTGGACCCTAAGAATGTCTCAAAAACCAAATTCTGGCAGGTCCCTGAAAATAAACATATCTTGAAGTTCTGCTTTCCTCTAGGGAAAAACAAATGCTCAAATACAAATTTAGAGAAAGGTCAAGTTGTTTAGCTGCTACACCCACCGACCGGTGAGCTTCTTTCTTTGGTATTCTTAACTAAATAAAGATGCAGCACTGGTCTGCCCCAGGATGGTGCTATGGCAGATTGGTTCATCCAGTCGGTCCTTCATAGCTTAGCAACTGTAACTATGCCCAAGATGCCTCTGAAAAACTTTACAATATTCTGTAGTATATTTGTAAATCTGAAAACTTGCCCAATTTCCTGAGAGTTTGGTGAAACGAGTGAATTGTTACTCATTTCTCAAACTGAAGACAAAAGAGGAGATGTGTAAGATCTCAATTAATGTGTGGAAGAGCGCATTACCAAACCAGAAATGAGCATTTTCAGAAGAAGACTTGCTGAACTGCTGCTTTGACAAGTAAGTTACCAGCCTGCCAACATGGGAGCCCCCAAATACCAGGGGATATTTCGCACACTGGGTGTAATACATGTAGGAATAAAAGAGCAGAGCTGTCTCTGTACTGCAAGAACATTCAGGAGGAAGCTGCACATTCACAATGCTATGATTCATTAACTATGTTTTTTTTTTTACTTGCTTTTTTTTTTTTCTTTAGCTTTACTTGTAAAGTAAAATAATTAAATATTTTTTTTTATATTAGATGTAAAATCTCGAATTGCTTTAAACAGAAATTCTAAAGTAAAAGTAAAACATTGCAAAGATAAAACACGCTTGTCAGAGGTGTCTGGGCATACTTACAATTGCTAAGCTACAACTGGGCAAATGGTACTTAGGAGAGGAGTTTAGTGAAATTTGAAGGCCATAATCAGTTTTCTCCCTCCTAAGAGTAATGAGTGATGACACATACTGCAGAAAACCACTGGATTTCACTGGATAAAAAAACACACAAATATATCCAAAACGGTACCTTTACAGGGTGGGAGTAAAAATGGTCTTTACTTTTCATGTAAATGACTACAAAATAGGTCTTATTCCAAGTGAGTTTGGATCATTTCTATTGATAAATTCATCATAATATTTTCCAGACAATGTGATAAAAGTAATGAATCAGTAATGACACAAAGTGCAGTAATGAATCTAACGTCACTGTCTCCCACTGACAGAACAACAAGCTCATCAGACACACAACACAACCTTATACAAGATGCAGCTCATCTCAGCATGTGTGTTTTAGACCTCATTTACAGGAAGTCCAGAAAAATATGTGGCTTGTTCGGAAAGGGGTGGAGAATAGCAGCAGCTTCCTTCCAGGGGTAATAAAAGCCCTTAGTGATGGTATAGCAGCTTATAACCAAGAAGAGCAAGAAAATCAGCATTGAAACTTCAAGTGAGTATTCTACCTTTTTCCATGTGCAGGAGTAGACCTATAGCGTGTGTTTAAGGTCCTAAGATTTATTTTAGCAAAATTCATAAGATTTTTTATTTATTTATTTATTTATTTATTTTTACTGTACAAATGAGCTGAAATACAGCAGAGAAGTGTGTGTTTTCTCTCCTCCTCAGAGTAAGCGCTGAATGAAGTCTGTCACTCTAATGGAGCTGCTGTGAGGGCACAGATGTTTTCCAGATGTTTATGTCTAGAGCTGAGCCGCTGAGTCTTTTAGTCTATAAAGTGCTGAAACTAAACTCTGCAGGGAAGATAATCTCCAGGAGCAGGATTAGCAGTCAGAATGTATTTAACAGATTCACACAGGCCAAAGGTTTACAATTTGAAGATGTCTGAGATTTTGAGAGATGGTATTTGAAGTGTTTTAATTTTAAATCAAGAAAAAGTACTGGCTCTTTCAAGACATTACCTTTGTGTAAAGTATTGCAGGCTTTTATCCTGTAGTTTCTTGAAAACACACAGACACATTTTCTAAGCCGCTTATCCTTCTGGGTCACGGGGGGAGCTGGAGCCTCTCAGATGGAAGGCAGGGAACATCCTGGACAGATCGCCAGTCCATCACAGGGCAGACAGACAGACATACACATTCACACACAAGGCCAGGGCCAATTTAGCATCTCCAGTTCGTCTCACTGCATGTCTTTGGACTCTGGGAGGTAACCGGATCACTCAGAGGAAACACAGGCAGACATGGGGAGAACATGCAAACTGCGCTCAGAAAGCAATCTGGTCACCCGGCCAGGGAACTGAACCCAGGCCCCTCTTGCTTTGAAGTGACAGTAGTACTACTACTACTACTACTACTACTACTACTACTACTACTACTACTAATAATAATAATAATAATAATAACAATAATAATATTTTAAATAATTAATTTCTGCAAATGATGACATATCTGAATTTAATTTAATCTTAACCATCCAACCATGCGGTGTTTACCACATTCGCACACAGTTTATTACTGAATTGACTAGACTACACTAAACCTAAAAGACTCTTAACTAACTCTAGACTAAGACTAACTCTACTCTCATTTTTTATTTATTTATTTTTGATAAATCTGTATTCATCAAAATACATAAATGAATAAATACGACCACTTCTACCTAACATCTATAAAATGTTCACTGGATACCACCTTGAATTTCTGTTTTGCACCCATAGGACAATGTGGGGCTTCTGGATCCTCCTCTGTGTTGCCTTTTTTACAGGTAATTTTATTTTCCCATTTATCAGGCCCACACATTCACAACAACCTTGAACCTGCATCTACACAGAATACACAAGACCAAAAACAGTCTTCCAGCTGCTGGTGAAGTCTTGCTGGCCACTTTCATTTTGTATAACACTGAAATGAACAGAAATAATGCTTATTTTGTTCAGTACATCATTTACAAATCTAAATTGAAAACTGCTAATAAAAGCCACATCTGCTTTATTTTGGACATCAGCTTCTAATGGAGTAAGATTCATGATGTCTGCCATAAACTTTCATATGCTGGGCTAGAATTCTTTACTTCTCCTCTCTCCTTTTAGAGTCCTGTTCTGGTGATGTTTTGCAGCATGGGGATCAGTTGAGTATCAAGTTGCCAGCTCAGGTGAAGATACTGGAGTTCACACCACTGGATCAATCCTTCAGTTACACCATCTGGTCAAGCAGCATCAAGCCCCATAGGGGAAAAGTGGTGGAAGAGAAGGGCAATAACAGGTGCTTCATAATCGACTTCGTCAGTTTTGATGATGAGGGAACCTACACTCTGTCGAACTCTTACAAAGTGTTTTCTGTCATCAAAGTAACGGTTATTTGTAAGTGACTTTATCCAGTGTGTTCCCCTTACACCTCTTATTCTTCGCATCCATGTTTTCTTTATAAGTCTTCCTCTATAATTGTCCAAATGATCTTTGATCCAGAGTCTAATACTACCCTTCAATTTCTTTCAAAGTCTCAATAAAGATACAGACACATATGGCTGGTGAGACTCTCAGCATTTCACTGGACGGTCTAATGAAGAATGATGCCAGTCTGAGTTTCTCCAACCTGCAAGATAAGAACATCATGCTGGTGAAGCAAGGCTCAGTGCAAAATCTCACTGACTACTATGAAAGAATCAGTTTCCAAAGCAGCAGTTTCCAGGTCCTCAATGTCAGTGAGTCAGATGAGGGCAAATACATTCTCTTTGACGGTAAAAGTCGTCAGGTCAAGGTCACCACTTTAACCCTCACTAGTGAGTTCCAGTCATCAAAGTCATTCTACTTTTTCACAGTTGAGTCATTGTAGTCAAAATGTGAACATTAACATATCAGTATTTTTTGTAATCTGATAGAGGTACAGTCAAGTAAATCGATTCCCTAAATCTGAATGTTTCCTTCTCTTTGTGTAGAGCCTCTCAGTGGGAGGGATATAGGCACTGGTGTGGCTGTTCTGCTGCTGCTGGGGATAGCAGCCAGTGTTTGCTATTATTATAAGGAGAAAAAGTGCAGCCAGTCCACTTCCACGACTACAGATGAGGAGAGCTTACTTCCCCAGACCAGACAGCTGTCCACTTCTGACTGCCCTGCGGCTCCAGGAGGCCCCAGCCTAGTAAGACTCCAGCACTGAAATGAGCAAAATCGTGCATGTACTGCCAACATGGCATTGCAAAATGTACAAATTAGAACGTAGTATGATTTTTTGTTGAAATGTGCTTAAAAATGCACTTTTTCTTTGTGCTATGGAAAAAATGGACCCACAGCAGACAATAATATACTAGAACATATGTGTGTGTGTGTGTGTGTTGCAAGGTGGGTATTCTATGCTCTGTCACAATGTGTGTATTGCTTGAGAAATTCTGTTTGTAGTTAAAAGCTGACATTCAAAATAATGAATCTTAAACTGATACTTTGGTGAAATTGCAATTATCCAAATTTGTCTTATCTGAAATGCGGTCAATCAGTCCAGACATGTTTGGTGTCTGAAGTTTGCTCTTTACTTTTAGCTCTGAAGCTACAAGGTCAACATACTGGCTAAATGACCAATTACTAAAATAAAGAAGCAAACCTTGGACACCAAACACATCTTAGCTGATTAAATACATTTGGTGTAAGAGAAAAATTATGTAAATTAGATTTTTCAGTGAATTACTGCTGTGTGTGTATGTGTGTGTGCGCATGTTTGTGTATATGGTCATATATATGAGAGAGGTCTTCATGTTGGCTCTGGTCTGAGAGTGTTTGTGCTGTTGTTTTGTAGGTGTACACTCCTGGTTATCCTGCTCCAGGTGTGGTTATTTGTCCTCCACCTGTTGCTGCAATTCCTGTCCAGTACGCTGGGCAACCTGTCATACCACTGCATAACCCTGTGAGTCTACACACACACACACACACATGCACATGCACACACATGCAAAGGAACCCAGGTTAGAACACTCTTTATAACTTCAGCGTAAATGGATGGAGCTAAATTGCCATAGGCTCCATAGGTAGATATGTAAATGTAATAGATTGCATGACATCACAAAAACAGATTAGTTTTTTATATATTGCTTGAGGAGTGAATGTTTTGTATCTGACCGGGGAGTCTATGTTTTATCAATGTTAATGTACATCAAACTCTCTTGCCTAAAAACAAAAGAACTAGAAAAACCCACTTTCCAATGACATTAGCCTTCAATCTGTCACAGCAGCATTTCTGCATTTGTTTATGGATCAGTATTTATTAGTAAGTCATGTTATATTTTTTTTAAATAATACAAAAATACTTTTAATCCTACCACTACTACAATGGCAAAAATATCATCTCATACACTGATACAATGGTTCATATTCAACATTTCACATCCTGCGCTGCATTAAATCCAATTGATTAGACATACTTGCAGTTCTAGAAGTACTGACGATATGCTCAAACGAGCATATTGTGACATAATTTATCAGAATGACAATAAATATTGTCATATTACTTAATAAAGAACAGCCATTCAGTAGCTACGAGGAAATATGTAACCTGATGTATGTAGCTGTTGGAGAGAGAAACTAAAGTGTGGGCCCTCATATGAGCCCTCAGGGTTTAGGAGGAATAATCATAGCACAGCGCTTCACTAATAAGTGCAACAAAGCAATGCAGTATCACAGTTCAGCAGAATATAGCATGTAAAAACAAAACAAGACGTCAAGCCCAAACCAATAAAGCAGCTGAAAAATGTCAGTCAAGATCAAAACAGCAAATCAATGTGTCCATTAGCAATAGATGAAACACTTAATCATATACGTAATGGAAGATCTATCAACAGGTACATGTGTTTGGTGTTTTTTAGATGTACACCCCTGGCTATCCTGCTCCTGTGGTTTGTCCTCATCCCTACCCCAGTGGATAACTTGCCCCCTAATCCTGTGAGTCACTGTCTCACTCACTCACTCACTCACTCACTCACACACACACACACACACACACACACACACACGCACACAATCATGAAGCCATTAAATCAGCTCTGTGTGGAGGCTGAAATTACTGAAAAGTGTCCTGAAAGGCTGATACTTCAGGAATTCTTTAGTGTTCAATCAGTGCAAGAGTGAACACTACACAGTGGCTGGTTACAAGAGAATACTTGAGCCTGTGTGTGTGATGTTAATATATAAAGACATATGAAGTGGCTGATTTTTAAATTATAATTTCACGCGTTACAGGGCAGCACATGCACACAATATTTTTTCCTCCTGACTCAGTAATGCTACTTCTTTCAATTTTACCAAAATAAATTGCACATAGTGCAGCTTCAAATAAAAAGAGAAAATTCACAAGAAAAATTTGGAAAAGAAAATTGTATAGACATATGTTTGAAAATGCAAATATTAAGAATTAAATCAAACTTAATTTTTCCAAAAATGTTCGTTGTCTCACTACTCATTTAACTAGCATTTGCCAATCTTTGCTTTCATTTTTTTATGTGCAGAGTTTGCAAAATACATTCTTTCTTTGCTTCTGAGTTTTAACACATGTTTGGGCAGAAGGGTCTTAGAGGAAAGCTCTGACCTTTAGGCAGTGTTTACAATATATTTTGATATCCACCAAAAACACTGGTCTGTTTGGGTGTGTTTGTAGGTAGAAATAGATTTGAGCAGGAAACTCATTCGAACATAAGCAAAAACTACTGGCTGGTTCATAAAAGCAAGCAAAATAAAAGACGTGTGAGTTTTAATTAAACCAGTTGCTGTCCTACTACACCAAACCTGAAGTATACTGACCTTCTACAAATACCTTCTGTAAAATAGAGAACGTGGAGAGACTCTTTCAGTTATTACACTTCTAAACTATGGAACTCAATTCCACCTTTTATTAGACAAGCTCTGTGCTCACTTTCAAGAAACACTGACAATAATAGTAACCTGTAGGTGGCCGCAATCTATAGCATTCCACTCGTTACTGATATGCCTTGTTAGCCATTTAGCAAACACTAAACGCTTAGTTAATGCTATTAGGTGCAAATCATATATAGTTTGAAAAATCCACAGGACTCAAAAAAAAAGTATTTACTTAAAAGGTGTTTCTATATTAATTAGATGTACACAACCAAGGCATTGAGCATAAAGACATGCATCTGCAAAATCATACAAATGACACACTTTAATATCAGTTTTGTTTTGTTTTTTTTGTTTTTTTTGTAAAGCAGATGCCAAGAATTGTTTCGGAACCAACCAAGTTCTTGTAAAATAAGACAACAGATGGGATTTCTGTTCTGATGCTGGTTTACTGCTGCTGCTTTCTTTGAATTCCGTGACTTATCTGTCTCATCTACTGTTTCTCTTTTTGTCCTTCATTGCATTCTTGCTAGTTGTGGAAGCAGCCAGTCACAGCTGACCTGTAGAAATGTGCAGATGTATCTCTCAATGGATCATCCACCCCTGTTCTGGCTGCACATCCAGTAGGATTTTAATTTGATAACAATCTGGCATTTGATACAGGTGCCTAAATAGAAGTTGTCTCATTTAAAAAATATATAATTAATTATATTATTAAATAAAAATAAATAAAAATAATTCATTCAAATTAAAAATGTGGAAAAACAGTCTGTTTTTAAAAACATGTAGTGAGTAGAAAGAACAGATTTTTCTTTAGAAATGTAGTGCATAAAAGTATTAAGTGACAGAAATACCCAAGTACAGATAAATACTTAAGTACAGTAACAAACTACTTATACTTTGTTACTGGGTCAATGCCAACTTTTAAGACCCTCCCATCTGTAAAAATATGTCAAAACTCAAAAGCAACAGAGATTCCAGGAGCAAAAGAGCATATTTGGGAAATCTGCAAATAGAAACAAACAAAAATAAAAAAAGAAAGCAAACACTGACAAATTGCTGGTTCAAATGAACAGTCTCCTCATCTTTTTAAAAATGAAGGTTGATTAAATCTCATTATATGTATTTGCAATATGTTTTTTTTTCCATTTTGGTTCTTAATATTTTGCTTGTGGATTTTATCATTTTAGTTACTTACTTTTCTTTTACACAGTACACAGATTTGTTCTTACTTATTTATTTACTATTCTTTAATAAGTCATAGTTTCAACACTGACATGTATATAAAGCAGGGAGAGGCAGTTATTACCTACTTTGATTGTAGCAGGTGGCTTTACAGCTTTTAACTTATTCCTTTATATCTTATGGTGTACAAAATGAAGTTTCTGGTGAACTGCAAACCCTTATATTGGAATATAAGAAACTAAAACAGGAATAAATTCAGTACTGTGTAAAAGTCAAAGATCATCCATCATTTATTTAATTTCCAGGCAAAAGGATAATTAATTATTCATTTATTCATTATTTATTTTTCAGTGTCAGGAAAAAGTAGACCACCTATATTCAACAGAAACCTGCACTTCTAAATATAATTTGACATTTCTCAGTATTTAGTTTGTCCCTGCTTTTATTACAGCTTCCATTCTTTTTCCGAGACTTGCTTTCAGTTTTTTAAAGAAATTTATAGGGATGTTTTTTCCCCCCTTACAGAGTTCAGTCTTAGAAACTGGATGCATTTTCTACTTCTCACAATCCAAACAATCCTAATTACAAATTTAAAATCATCAGTCCATAAAACCTTACTCCACATCTCAGGTGTCCAGTCATGGTGTTCTAGTGTTAGCTAAAGCAAAGGTGTAGCTTGATTCACTCCTATCATCCAAAAAAATGCTTACTGGGTGCATCATTGTAAAGAATGGACAGATTAAATACTGATAGATTTTATACACTTAGTGTGGGAGGCAATAAAAAAATGAATAACTTGTACTTAATGCTTATTTGCTGGTAATGCTTTACAGCAGATCAGGATTCTCCAGATACATTTTGTACTTCAAATAACACAAGTGGACAAGCTGAAGTATTACTATTTGAATTCTTGACAAGACCGTCTTTATACAGTGTTTTTATTGCTATTAAATCTGTGTACTGTGTTAAAGCTCTATAACTTTTTACAATGTACACTTTATACACTGTGGTTGTAAAGATATATTAGAATAAAAGAAAATCGGGTTGTAAATGATTGTCTCCCTCTGTTTTAACCCTCCTCTGCTCTTTTCTCATCTCTTTTTCTCTGTTTATCTGTCTGACGCTGTCACTTATTTTAATTCGTATCCCCTAGGTGTGACCACTTCCAGCCCCTATATCGGCACTGATGTCCTTAACCTCTCTACCTCCGCCATCCTGTTCCACACAGAACACAGGAAAACGCTCGGCCTACAGTTTCCTGTTGTTCAGCTTCTGTTTGTACCTCAGCCTCCTTTTATACCTCAAAGAGTCTTCAATAAACAGAGTGTATGTCCATCTTTTACATGGAGTGTATTGTCTTTAAAGTGTTTGATGTTCAGGTTCATCTTATAAAAGGAAAGACAGATTCTCACTCTTGTCTTGTAAAGGGATGGTGCTGTCTAGGAACATGTGGGTGATAATTTTGGCCTTTTATTAGTGGAAATAAACATATCAATAATGTATGCACACGGAATGGTGAGCTCATGATTAATAAGCTGCTTTCTATTATAACTCAAACTGTGTCAAACTCAGTGACTGAACCACTTACCTGACTCATGAACTGGCTCATCATGAAATACCACTTAAGATCCTGCAGGCCAAGTTAAAATATATTGTAGTGTCATAAAGAGGAAGAGTCAGGAGAGTTCATAATTTCTGCTAGGACTTAATGAAATTGAAGGCAGGTCACTCCTAGCCATGCGCTTTCTCCATGTGGTACCCACTAGCCCACGCTAACTAAATCCACACCCCGACACAATAAAGCATGTAAAACACATAAAACACATTATCTCAAACCCAACAAGCAACATCACTAACAACAAATGTCACCTAAAGAGGGAGCGCACGCCTCCCTTGAGCCTCTTCGCAAGGTCCTCTGCATTGCCTTGCCTACAGAGCCTCTAAAGCCCCCTCTGCATTGTCAAGCCACAATATTCACTTACAGGCAGTTAAAATCATAACATATGCTTACTTCTATGCCTCATGAATGCACATAATGTTTAAACATAGTAGTCATATATATATATATATTTTCACTAACCTGTAAAAATGGGCAATCGCTTTTTCATTTTTTATTTAACTTTAGGATTTACACATCGTGAGAGGTGCATCTGTCCAGCAATGTTGATTGGCATATCTTGTAAACAAAATCTGTGACACCTTATTTGGAGTGGTCCTTTGTCAATGATTACTCTTAACAGATTATCAGCAACACATCAACAACGTATCAGTGAATTAGCAGTAGTGAAACATCTGAATACATTGAAGTAGATATACCCTAACCCTAACCCTGGCCATATTCCTAATCTTAACCCTAACCTTAACCCAAAACCTAAACCTAACCCTCATGTTTTTGACATGTTACTGAGAGTCCGTTGAGTGTTTGTTTCACCTAAAAGGACCATTCAAAATAAAGTGTCACCAGAAAATAATCTAAAAACAAAGAAAAGAAGAGCAAAAACACTGTTTTTAACAGAAAATGAAAAAAAAATGCTGTTCTTAAAGTCCTCTGCACATTTCCTATCTCTGCACATCCACTATCTCTCCTGCTAACAGAGAAACATTTGATCTATAGTTTTTATTTATTGTAAAAGCTAAATAATCATTCAGTAAAACTGTTCTTTCTGAAAACCAAACAAGAAACAATATTTTAAACATAAAAGATCACACTAAAGGAGCATACCAGCTAGGTAATTTTGTGTCCTGATAAACATTGTTAGAGGTCTACAGTCCACCCTGACAAAACGTTAGAAAATTTAAGTCTAATCGTAACTTAAACAACTTGACTGCCTTAAAATTTCAATTTTATTGTTCTTGTGTAATGAGTAACACATAATAATTATACTGCTACTTGAGTTACTTTTAATGTTCAATTAACTTGAAATAAACAGAAAACAATAATTTTGCTTACTCTCATAAGTTAAAATAAGTATTGTAGTGCAGTAGATATGCCTTTTTTCCTACCATTGCATTCTCTCTCTCATGGGCATGCACTGCTACTCATTTAAAAAAAAAATCTAATAAGGGGGCTCATTAATTGTTCCATAAGATCCTAGTCATGCATTACATTTACAGCGTTTAGCAGATGCCATTGTCCAGAGCGTCTTTCAAGCTTTGTTGTAAGAGATAGAATCCAAACTACTCTTGAGCCAAGATGCTGCCAGATATACAAACGCAGTGCTAAAACCTAAAAAGAAAGATACAGAATTGAATATAGTTGTTATTACTAAATATAGTGCATTGCAATAAGTACTTAGATTAGAATTCATTTAAGTGCTTCACAAAAAGATGGATCTTCAGTTTGCAATTAAGGACCATAAAGGACTCTGCTGTTCAGACCGCCAGTGGAAGTTTATTCACCACCTAAATGCCAGGACAGAAAAAAGTCTTGATGCTCATCTTCAACGCGGCTTGAAGGATGGTCGGTCAAGCCAATCTGTACATGAAGCTCGAAGGGTTTTGACCATTTCCATCAGGTAGGGAGGGGCTGGTCCATTTTTAGCTTTGTAAGCGAGCATCAGGGTTTTAAATCTTATGTGGACAGCTACAGGAAGTCAGTGAAGGAAACAAAGCAGTGGAGTGACATGAGTGAACTGAAAATTGAGGACAAACCCTACTGTTGCATTCTGGATCAGTTGCAAGGGTATGATGGTTCGCATAGGACGCCAGGACTGAGGACACAGTGTCCATGATTTCCAAAAAGAAATTCAAATGTTGATTTGTCGGACCACAGGACACTTTTCCACTTCGCCTCTGTCCATTTCAAATGAGCTTGGGCCCAGTGAAGGTGGCAGCGTTCCTGGATCCTGTTTATATATATATAAAGATTTCTTCTTTGCGTTTTAGAGTTTTAATTAGCATTTGTGGATGCAGCGACAAACTGTGTTCACAGACAGTGGTTTTCAGAAATGTTTCTGAGCCCATGCAGTGATTTCCACTGCAGAATCATGTCTGTTTTTAATGCAGTGCCGCCTGAGGGCCCAAAGATCACAGCCAAAAAATACTTGTTTTTGGCCTTGTCCCTTGCATACAGAGAGTTCTTCAGATTTTCAGAATCTTTTAATGTTATATGTATGATGAAAAACAAAAGTTCTTTGCTATTTTACGTTGACAAACGTTATTTTTGAATTGTTGCACTATTTGATCATGCAGTCTTTCACAGAGTGGTGAACCCCTCCTCATCTTTACTTCTGAAAAACTCCTCTCTGGGATGTTTTATACCCAATCATGTTATTGACTTGTTGCCAATTAACCACCAGATGTTTTTTAAGCATTACACAACTTTACCAGCCTTTTGTTGGCCCCATCCCAACTTTTTTTAAGAATGTGTTGTTGGCATCAAATTCAAAATGGGCATATATTTTTCAAAAAACAATAAAATTTCTCAGTTTCAACATTTGATATGTTGTCTTTGAAACATTTTCAGTGAAAAATAGCGTTTGCAAATCATTGCATTTTGTTTTTATTTACATTTTGCACAGTGTCCCAACTTTTTTGGAAATGAAAATATTATAGACATTCAGGAATGTTTGGGAGGAAAGAAAAGAGTGATGCTGGTCCCCATGAAAAGATGTCACATTGGGCCCCACCGCCCCACCACCACAGGCCATGCCAACCCTGAAAATATATATGCAATATTCAGCATACAGAGGAATTCACTTTTTGATGGAGGGATGATACCCTATGAAATGTTCGAAAGGCCATCTTTTACGATTTAAATGTAATTTTAATTGTAAAATTCTAGAATGGGAAATGGTCTTAAAATTAACGAACAACATAAAATAGAACTTATATATACATTGACCAATGGGTTTGGGGAGACATGGCTGGTTCATTGGTAAGGGCATGGGAGGGGTATGGGGAATGGGAAACAGGGCTGATACATTGGTAGGGGTATGGGCATGAGGAGAAAGGACTGATTCATTGGTAGGGGTATAGGGAGACAAGGCTGGTTCATTGGTAGGTGTACGGGGATGGGGAGTAGGGCCAATTCATTGGTAGGAACATGGGGAGACAGAGCTGATTCATTGGTAGGGGTATGGGAAGATAGGGCTGATTCATTGGTAGGGGGTATGGGAAGACAGGGCTGATTCATTGGTAGGGGTATGGGGATGGGGAGTAGGACTGGTCCACTGGGAGGGGTATGGGGATGGGGGGTAGGACTGATTCATTGGTAGGGGTATGGGGATGGGAAAACAGGGCTGATATATTGGTAGGGGTATGGGTATGGGAAAACAGGGCTAATTCATTGGTAGGGGTAAGGGGAGACAAGGCTGGTTCATTGGTAGGTGTACGGGGATGGGGAGTAGGGCCAATTCATTGGTAGGAACATGGGGAGACAGAGCTGATTCATTGGTAGGGGGTATGGGAAGACAGGGCTGATTCATTGGTAGGGGTATGGGAAGACAGGGCTGATTCATTGGTAGGGGGTATGGGAAGACAGGGCTGATTCACTGGTAGGGGTATGGGAAGACAGGGCTGATTGATTGGTAGGGGTATGGGGATGGGGTCTTTAGGCTGAGCCTAAGGCTTGCATCTGTTGGGTCTGGCATCCTATGAGGCAAGAGAACAGGGTGGTGGGGAGAAAGAGGGTTGAGGAGAGAAAAGAAAATGTTGAAGAGCTTGTGTGGATCAGATGCTGATGCTTCCACTGTTTCCCTCTGCAGAAAGGTGATTTTACAGCAGTTACTTCAAGTGAGAAAAGAGAGATTGGTGGAGCAAAAACCAAAGTCAAGCTGGGATTTCCTCCACCTTCTCTCAGCCATTCTCTCCATCCCCATACCCCTCCTAATGAACTGGTCCTACAGGACCCCTGTCAGCAGGGGGCAGGTGGGGAAGATCTTGCTGGCCAGGAGAAGCGAGGACAGAGAAGGATAATTGCAGATGAGATGAAAGAAAATAAAGTATCTGTAGCTGTATCCAGGAAGAGAGAAGAAAATTAGTCAGAGAAGGGTAGTTAGGATAGTAGAAGCAAGGGACAAGGAAGAGATGGGGTGTAGGCAAGGTGCAAAATACAGGAGACCCAGAAGGTCTCAAAATCAAAATTCTGGGGATCCCTGAATGCCACAATCAGCATGCTTCTGTCTTTGCTTTTCTTAACTAACTAAAGCTGTAACACTGGTCTGCCTCAGGGTGGCGTTGTAGGTACCTGGTTCACCAAGTTTGTCCTTCATAGTCTAGCAACTGTGACTATACCAGGATGCCTCTGAAAAACTTTATAATATGCATATTTGTAATTTGTAATATACATATAATAATAATACATCTGACAA